CCATTAAAACGTGGCATAGCGACGACGTACATATTCTGACCAGGTATGGTGAACACAATAGACCTATCAAAACAATTAAATTGGGCATGGTAGTGAGACAACCAATCCATCCCAAGTATCACATCATAAGTGTGCATATCTAGGACCAAAAGATTGGCTAAAAATCTGAGTCTGCCAATATCTAGTGTCACAGGCACATCACTCTCATGTAAAATGGCTGTATCGCCCAACGGTGTAGAAATACCCTGAGGTCTACTGCATACCTGTGTCGTCATCCCAGACAAATCAACAAAAGATCTAGCTACGAATGAATGTGTAGCACCCGTATCAAATAAAACACGTCTATGTAAACCATGAATAGGAAACTTACCCTCAACAGCCTGAGGTGCCTGCATATCCTGTGGCATGGGATTGTACACCCTGCCATAATGTAACTACTGCGGTGCCTGTCCCTGAGGCTGCGGCGATGCCGGTAAAGCCAAAAATGTCTATCCTTGAATCCGTGGAACCTGTGGAGCTGGTAGAGGCACTGGCACCCTCTGCCCCTGCAGCACATGCTGTCCCTGTCCCTGTCTAGGACACTGCCTGGAAGTATGACCATACTCTCCACAAGTGTAGCAACTACCTTGGAAAGTACCAAATGGCCTCCTCTGTCGGTTAGCCTGTGGCTGCCCCTGTCCTGCCGGTGGTCCCCCATTCTGCTGTCGCTGAATAGGTGCCCCATCCCTATGAGCATCTGAACCACCCTTGTGCTTCTTCCAAGACTGTTGTCCTTGAAATTTGCTCTTGTCGTTCTGTCGGTGGCCGTTACCATTCCCTTTCTCAGCTGGCTGTCACCCCGCTTCTCACCGTTGGCTGTCTGAAGTCCACGGTCAATTGATACTGCTGTAGAGCGGCGTCTACCACTTGAGCGTAAGTAGTATAGGCTGGACTACCTGTAATGACTCTCCTGATAGACCACATCAATCCTTTAACGAAACTGTTGCGCTTCTTCTCCTCTGTATCCACCTCCTCTGGAGCAAAAAGAGATAAGCGCGTGAACTGCTGCTCATGTTCTGCCATTGTCATGTTCCCCTGCTGCAGATTAAGAAACTCTGTCTTCATCGTTGCCCTGACTGCAAAAGGGAAGATTTCTCATCAAAGCGAATACTAAACTGATCATAAGTCAAGGACATCCTCTCCTCTGTGGTGGTAACTGACTCCCACCACTATAGTGCATCCCCTACTAGCTTGAAGGTAGCAAGCATCTGCTTCTGTACCTCCGTGTAATGAACCAAACGAAGATGTCGCTCTATATCCTGTTTCCACTGGTGAGCTGTTTTCGCATCGGTGGAGCATGTGAACTCAGGTGGGCTCCCCTTTGTAAAAGAACTCCTAGCCTTCTCCCAAGTATCAGTCTGAACAACCGGTGCTGGTAACGGTGCTGGCTGTACCTGAGGCAGATTCCGAAGTGCAGTTGTTACCCCTGCTTCTATAGCCCGAGCAATGAGGACGTTGATGTGAAGAGGATACTCTGGATCTCCTTCCAGATCCCGAGTCCGCTGAACCCCCTCCAGATCCCCCTGAAACTGACCATCATCCCGAAACCGAGGCAAATGCTGCTCTTCCTCCATTAGCTGACGCTATAGGCGTTCCTGCTGCCTACGTGCCGCTCTCCTCTGTTGCCTGTTCCCTTGCAGGTTCCGTCCCCTCCTAGCGTTAACCATCTATTAACACGGAAAGAACAAATATCAAAACGATTTTTAAACTAACCGTAAGGGAATACAATGAATCCTAATCTTAAGCTCTAATAAAGAGAAACGCTACGCGGAAGTCTTAATACGAAACATCCTAGAGACACTTGAACCTGAAGCGCTCTGATACCAACTGTGATACCCCTCGGATTCGAGACACGGGTTGATCAGGCCCAGGCCCAAACCCAAGGGAAAATCAAACAATTAATATTTAAAATGAACACGGAATACAAAATGAAATAAGAAATAATTAACAGCTGGAAGAAACTATAGTAAAATCCTTTAAAAATAAATACTTAAATCCGGTAATCCAAAACCTTCAATAGTTTCAACAACTCGATAATCCATCTCTAGTGGACCCCTATTAATAATCCAAACTGAAATGGACAACAACTGAAAGAACATCCAGAAATAAGCTATGGAGAGAAGTCCTACATCGTCGGAAGAGTGAGTAGTAGTCTTTGCTCAGCACGATCAAGTCTAAGTCGGGAACTGACGAGTACCTAAAAAATAGAAGTGGGTCAGGTCCACGAACAAGTTTTATCCTACTACACTCCAAGTAGAAACTCGATACGCATATACATCCTAAACAAATCATCAACAGCTAATAGTCCGTACATAAATATATCCACACTACAGGACTCTCACTGGACTATAGAGGGGGTCTCAACCTGAATAAAAGGCAACATGCGAAAACACACCTAAAGGTGAGGCATGAGTACCTAGACCTAACAGGGTATACCTCAACCTCTCATATCCAGCTACGTATCCTACTGCATATACGCTCCCTAACCGACGACTCTGAGACTCAAGCTTAGGCCGCAGTACCATAACATATATTTAAAGTCCGTCCTATCTATCCAAAGCAAGTCCAGTAAGTCATTCAGCTTATGCAGCTTCTTTGACTTAACATCACTAACAAGTAATTTAACTAGTCATTCAGCTTGTGCAGCTTCTTTGACTTAAATATAAGTAGGATTTTATTTATATAATCCGTTCCCTTATTCCAATATAGGTAGGACTTAGCGTTTCTAGCTAATCCAAACCTAGTATGCCACCGTTCCATACCGGTGCATACGTTCCATACCATCCAGCAGTTGTCAATACTAATAATGAAAGTACATAACAACTGGTTCATAACAAATATAACAAGAATCCATCACAAGTATAACAAGAATATGTATATGACATGCTTGCTTGGTCCTATCGATACATGGTTCTCCAATAAATTTAAAATACAGAGAATAGGCATAATCCATCCTATGATCCGCTATGAGCATAATATTAACAATATCAGAATTAATATGCTCACTTAAAACTGTTCCACGATATCCAGCAAATTAATAAGATACAATACTGCATAACTATATAGTTAGCAACCCAGTTTCCATTAAGCATAACAGAGAATTGTTACAATTGGCATGCTTATTTTTATAATACTGCGACATGATTTAAACCATAAATTTCCAAGTCAATTACCAATTTACAAATAGGCAACTTGAATCATTCGCATCCAAGCCAATCATACAAACTTTCTGCAGAGTCTCCTATTGTTTTCTATGTTTGCTTCCTATGGTACATTATGTATTACCATACCTTCTGAACCTTTAGTATTGGTTTAAACATTACTGAACAACCCTAGAACAACCCCTAATTCAACCTGGAACTTTCAAAACCCAACCACAGTAGCCCAGAACTCGCAGAAAACCAAAAAACTAGAAAAACATGAAAAGAGCAGGCTCCAAACAAGTTGGAGCCGCCTCCAAACCCTTTATAGCCAGCTCCATTATCCCATGGAGCCGCCTCTCTTTCCCCCCTCACCTCATATCTGCTTGTTTCATCTCCGATGAACTCCATGGCTTCCGTCCCTCTCTGTTTCAGTCTCTAACGCTTTTCATTATGTTCAGACTTAACCAGAGAAGATCCATCTAACTCCTTTAGGCATTGATTAACAGTAATTAAAAGAACAAATACACAGTCAAACACAAGACAAGCAATTTACAACTCAATTCAGCACATACTGATGTAATAAGTTTTAAACATGCATAATCAATTAATTCTGTTTAATGATTTCCTGGAAATGCTTAGGCATGCAAAGAACACGAGTAAAAGGGAAAGAGTAAGGTTAGAACTTGCCTCCACAACCGTGAATAGGGTTCTAAAACCCTAGGCAGAGCCTTATTACATATATTTATAGACCCTTAAGTTTACCCTACTACTAATCCTAATTCTAGACGAAAAACAAGGTCGACTACAGGTTGAAGAAAAACTAAAACCCTAACTAAATCCCGCTGATGTATTTAAAGAATTAAAATATAATTCAATTTAGTTATACAAATAAACAAGTAATCCAATTACTTAAATAAAACAAAGTACTCTTAATTAAAACAAATAAACAAGTAATCCAATTAATTAAATAAAACAAAATACTATTAATTAAAACAAATAAACAAGTAATCAAATTAATTAAATAAAACCAAAATACTATTAATGAAAACAACAAGCAACAAAATACTAGTAATTAAAACAAGCAGCAATTTACACAATAAACCAAATACCAGGACTATCCTTTTGAAAGTAGGGGTATTACATAACTTCAGAAAATCCAGTATGTTCTGTTGAATCTGGAGGATGAAAAGAAGAGCCAAGGGAGATACGGATTTTCCAGGAGTAGAACAACCGTCATCTTGAGAGACTTCATTCACAGTGGCAGGAGAAATAGCGGAAGGCAGAAGAAGAATCGTCTTTGTGGGTGTTTCAGAGCTTCAACTAATGGAGACGGTATTTACTTATAATGCTGTTATATTCATTAGCTGTGAGTTATGGTTCCTTGAAATGTTCCTTGTATCGTGTTGAAAGGATCAAATTCTTGGATTAGTTAGAAGAAACTGATCATCTTTAGTTTAGAGGAACTGTATGAATTATATCTGATCTAATTTAAATAAGCTGCTCGCATGATCATGAGCTTCTTTATCACTTGTGCACTCTAGATGTGGCACATTTTACTAATTAATGGAACGAATAGAATGTTTCAAGTCCTTCTAACCACAAAATTCATTCCAATCTACAAACCATTATCATCATCATCCATTCATTAAGTCATACAACTAACATTCAGCTGAAAATTACAAATGGAAACTCAGAATTCGCAACAAAATAAAAAATTAGGCACATTATTTCAATGTTTCACAGTAAAATTCAACTCAATTTAGCTTGAAACATATATAGATACAAATACACAGATATATATGTATATATAGGACTCACAGGCTGCAAATCCTCTCTCTTGAGCCAGACTTTCACCCCCAGCCTGTCGGAGAGCTTCGTCGCCAGCTGCAACGGCGATTCAACAGCAACGTCATACACCTTGGACGACAAAATGTTCGTCAAGTACTCCATTGCGCCGAGAACACCATCCGTAACCGCACCGTCCGGTACGGCGACAATTTCACCGGGCTCCGCCTGTAGAGAACCGGAGGAGACTACAGACAATGAAGGCGAAGAAGTTGAGACCTCCAATGAGGTTTCGCGGGAATCAACGGTCAGTTTCGGGGAAATCTCGGCCGTCGATTTGGAAAGCGCAGAAAAGATCAACGGTTTGATTTTGTTGTTGCTGTTGATGAAGATGGTGTTCTTGAATGCGTCATTGTTTGGGGATTTGATTGGGTTTGAGAATTTGGGACGAAGGAGACTAGGTTGCGAAGGTGCGAAACACAGGGCTTCCATGGAGATGGAGATATAGTTTTAGAGAGAGAAAGTGAAAGTTTTAGAGAGAGAGAGAGAGGTGGCTGCTGCCTAGGCGTTGCAGCGAGAGAGAGGCAGCGCAGGGGTCAAAAAGTTCGGTAACGGCCTTCAAATGAAAGTTGCGAGGGTTTTCACTGAGGTGTTAACGTTACCTGTAGGTTTTGAGTCGCCATATAATAAGCTGACACGTTGGCTTAGTGAATGCAGTGGGATCGTGCACCGAGAAGTGAAGTTATTTATTCCGCGTCTTTTATGCGTGGACAAAACCAGAGGCAGAAGCCGCCTTGTGTAAGATTCACGTGGCCGGGTGACTAGAGAGACGTGAACAACATTTGGACTTTTCGACATTTGTTAGACGAAGACAAACTGCTTCACTAAACACATTAATGCTGCCTTTGGTACTCAGGACACAGGACCCAATTTTAGTTGTCTTCTAAAATCTTGTAAACGAGTTCGTAAAATTATTTAATTTGTATTTTTTTTTTTTTTTGCTATTAAGTAGAAAAATTAAGTTCAAATCTTAACTCATTTATGATTTTTCTATAATATGGACAAGAATCATATTGTCATTATCATACTCACTCACCAGTCACCCCTATTAAGTATAACTGCATTTTAGTATAGTAGTTTTATAATAACTCTACTACTAACGTTAAAAGAGCATTCTCTAAGTGAAGTGAGTGAAAGAAAAGTAATTTTTTCACCCTAGTATTTGAATAGCATGAAGAATAATAAATTACATTTTTATAATTTAAATATCATTAAACTTACCATTAAAAAAAGACATGATGGTAAGTTCATAAAATTTCCTCAAAAAATTTAAATTTTCTTGTGTTTTTTTGGTAAGAAAAATTTATAAAAAAAAAAGTCAATAATTTATTTGAAAAGAATTAAATTATAGGAAATTTTTTTTTTTTTTCGAATAATAGGAAAGTTAAATGGTGCGTTCTCAAAAATTTTCTTTCCATACTAATTTTTTTTTTTTTGTGTAAATTTGATGTGTCAGAGTAGATTTACACAAAAAAAATTTGTACTAACTATTTTTAGCTTTTGTATAAAAAATTATCATCCAATAATAATCAACCACGTGTTATATCCAAGGGTTATTTTATACCTTTTGTATAAGAAAACTATCATCCAATAACAATCAACCACGTGTTATATCCAAGGCTCTACATAACTTTTACTAACCTACTTTATTCAATATACTTTTTAACGATTAAACCTCACAATACAATCCTCCTCACTTAAGAAAAAAATAATATTTTCCCACTATATTTCACTTTCCCATCCCGCCAATAACAAACCTTTTATACCATCTCTAACTTATAATAAATAATAAAATAAGATTCAAGTATGTAAAAACTACGTGATTAAAATATATATCTAATCTTTGACTAGTACATATTTATCTCATTAGAATAAAATGTAAAAGGATAAAAAATCTAAAAAAATATTTAAAAAAACCCTAAAATCTATAGTATGATTGCATAAGATAAATCAAACGAAAGTGATAAATCAAACTATGTTTATTAAAATAAATAAATAGAAAATGGTCGAGCAGTTCTTATCTTGTCGCTAGTTACAGATTCTTCTCTAACTGTGAGCGCAAAAATGAAAAGGTAACTATAGTATTATAAAATAAGAAGTAATGTATTAATGAACTTTGGGATCTTGACATTTCTTTTAAAAAAAAAAAAGTCTGCTCTAAATACTTTAATGGTATAAAAAGTTGAGGGGGATAAAAGTGGGTGTACAACTATGTTTGTCAAATTTTACTTGATTTCCCGAAAATATTATAATGAAATAATTACACCCATTGAAAATGATCAAAAATAAATTGTCTTTCTAATGAGAGTTTATTGAATAACTATTGATGTGAAATGTCTTGCCCTAATGTAATTTAGAAAAAATTTAAAATAAAAATAAAGATCAATTTCAATTTCAATTTTCTCCTCTTTCCTTTATGAGATACAAAAGTAATCAAATTACAAATAATAATAACAACAATAAAAAAAAATAGATAAATAAAGACTCTTTTCACACTAAAATGCATGACAGCATGACAACACAAAAGTGGGACGATGAAACCATTTCACACTTATCGTTTCATTCACAGAACCAAAACATGAAATGAAAGTACATATATGCTTTTATATATATATATATATGTGAAGTACATTTAACTCATCATTCTCAAGAAATTTGAAAAAACTCCAAAATAGTCACGATGATAATCTTCATCCACGTTTTGGATGATTAAAAAGTCTATTACATCTCAAATTAATATAAAATTATAACTTTTGTTCCATAGTTATTAGAAATGAACAAAATATGCTATTAGTACAAGATATGACTTAATCGTGCTAAGAGACTGAGGTAAAAAGGTTGAGTTGAGACAACTGCCCTTACTAAAATTATTTTTTATATATTATTGTATATACAATTTTTTTTTATAAATATTGTAATAATGTCCCTACTAAATTAATGATCTAAATAGAAGTATGAATAATTTTTAAAAGTATCAATTAATGTCAAAGTTTTTCTTTTACATTATGATAGTTTGCAAAAATTTTTTTTTTTATCTTATTACCATTTGAGGCAGTCTCCTCTTAAATCATTTTCTAACTCGGTCAGTGTTTGTAATAAACAAATTTTAAAAATATGTGACCAATAAATCAATTATAAACTATGAGATAGGATTGATTAATGCATTCTAAATAGGTTTCTAGCTCTTCTTTACAGGCCCACCACGCCTTTGGAGTGGTTTTTGGCCTATTAATCTCCATGATTTCCACCTACTAAAGGGTTCAATCTGGTGACGTCATGAATGATGAGAGTGGGAAGGACCAAACAATCACGTATCAATAAAGCATTACACAACAGTAACTAAAGCCACCAAGCATAAAATAAATAAAGCCTAATCATGGAAGAACATGGATGACCTAAGTAGATTCAAGTCCATAAATAAATAGTTTTACAATAAATTCTTAAAAAAACAATCAAAAATATAATTTAATGACACTTATTATTATTTTTTAATAGATATCACTCTAACTTTAGCTCAAATAGACCAATGACCTTTTGATTTAATAATATCTTCTCTGGATGGTGAGAATTCGAATTTCTAAATGAATATAGTGGGTGTCTGAGATGAATATGTTTTATTGTCAATGACAAAAATAAAAATAATTTAAAAAAAAAAAAAAAAACCTTTAAGTCAAGTAGTGTATACTTTTACTTTCAAATGGAAAAGTTGACAATTTAAATTCTCATTCACTTTAGCTCAAGAAGTGTGTATTATCCAATAAAAAAAAAAAAAAATTGAAATTGAAAAACCTTTTGATCATGTGTTTGTGTCTACTTAACAAATAAATTAATTATACAAAATAATACTTCATTTGTCACACAAAAAAATTTATTTTTTAAAAATTTAACTTTATAAGTAAGTAATTTTTAATATTTTTTATTATAGTAATAAAAAATAAAATTTTAAATATACATGGACGCGAAGATCCGTACAAGATAGGATCTAGGTTCCAATCTTAACACTCACCATTGAATTATTGAATAAAAAAATAGAAACAGATACATGACCCATTTCGCTCCCAGAAAATATGCATATCAGTTAACACGTGGACGGGTCCATATTGAATATATATAATCACGTGTATGTCATGGTCGGAACCCATCAACATGAAATGCCTCAAATCAACCAAAAAGGAACCAGATTCCTGACACCATGAGAAAAGTTGGCTTGAGGGGCAATGGAGTGGTCAAAAAGCGACAACAAACCACAATTTTCTTAAATTGTCGAAATACAAAAAGAAAGCTTAAAGCTAACACAAAGGCAGGTCACACTGGTGGAGGCCTAAAGCAAAATTATTAAATTAGGCATTATCACACCAGTTTTATTGATACAATATTAATTATTTTTATTTAAAAAATATTCTCTCTCCTGCTAAATTTGCAATAAGTTCAAGAAAATTTCAAAATAGTAGTATTTTACTTTTTATTTTAAGGGATAATGATTTAATTGCGTGGACAATTAATGTGTTAGAATGCCAATAAATTACAAAGTCCAAAAAAAAATAAAATGTTAGAACAAATATTAATATGCAAAGAGAATTTTAAAAATAGAAGAAGTGCAAAGGTGTGCGATCATTGAGAGGACAAAAAATGAAGTAGGACTGCACTAAGTTTTCTTTTCTTTTTTTTTTTTTTTTTTGGCTATTCTAATTATCAGTGTTCAACAATGACTTTTAATTAATGATGAATAAGGCATGTCTCTCTTCTTTTAAAGTGTTCAAATCAAGAATAGATGTTAGTATGTAATAGTAATATTGGTAGCTTTTTATTATCAGTGTCCAACACGACTCTTAATTAGTGATGGATAAAGACACTTCCCTCTCCTTTCAAAGTGTTCAAATCAATAATGGTAATAGCGGGAGCTTTTTATTATTTTCCTTAATAGAAGAGAGCAATTTCAAAGTGTTCAAATCAATAATAGTAATACCGGGTGCTTTTTATTATTTTCCTTAACTGAAGAGAACAGATGTATCATAATGAGATAACTTATGTGGACCTCTTATTCCGTTGGAGTCTCAAACTATCACCTAAATTACCAACTTGTATTGACCAATCGAAGATAAGTTGTATTTATTTGATAATTAATAAAATAAACAAAACATAAATAATATAATATAAAAATATATAATTAACATAATTGAGATAACTTGGGTGGACCTTTTTCTTGTTAGGACTTGTATTGACCAATAGCAAAGCAATTGTACTTATTTGATAATTGTACCTTAGGTTACCTCCGTCCCTTTAGAAAGGTAAAGAATCTGAGCAAAGCTTGGGAATGGAATAACACAATATGATCACCATTCAACAACTTGATTTACATTCTATATTTCTTTTTATGTCTTGAATTGCAAATTTGATCATCAAACACCCACCAAAAGAACTGTTCTTTGCTATGGAGAGCACAAAAACAAAGGTAGAGTTGATGAAGCCAGTGATCCTCAAAGCTGGGATTCCAATAGCCATCTCTGTTGCTGGTTTCATCTTGGCAAGGATCAAGTCAAAAAAGAGTTCACTTTTGAGAGCTTCAACTGTTGAAACCACTCAAAACAATTCTCATGAAGAGTTCAGAGTTGATGAGAGCATTCATAGCTTTGATTCATCATCATCTTTACCATGTATGGAGGTTGAAAAGCCTGTTGTTATAAATACCCATTACGAGGGTGATTCACAAAGTCAGGATAGGCATGAAGAAGAGTTACTGGGCTTAAGACGTCGAATTGAAGAATTTCAAGAGAGAGAATTGAAGCTAGAGATGAAGTTTCTTCAGTATTGTGATCTGAAAGACCAAGAATCTGTGCTTATGGAGCTTGGTTACATGTTCACGTTGGAGATAGCTCGCGTTGAGTCCTTTACTAAAGAGATTTCGTTGATGGAGGAAGAGAACAGGAGGCTTGAGGATTTGGCGGGTGAATATATGAAAGTTTTAGAGCAGCTTGAATTTTCAGGATGGGAAAATGGTTTGCTTCATAGGAAGGTTAAGAATCTGCTGAGGAAATTAAAAGAGCGGTCTCGAGCTGTAAGAGAGAAGAATACGCAAATTGAAGAAAGAGAAGCACAGATTTTGGCAAATCAAAAGGAGTTAGAAAGAAGAGCTAATCTTATCAAGGAATTGGAGGATGAAAATAGGGAGCTAAAATTGAATTTGGATCAATTGCAGCAGGAGAAGAAAGAGCTTGTGGACAGTCTAAAGATGGCAGAAAAATCAGCTTCATCAAAGGTTATGCATTCTTTAGTACTCTTATATATATATATATATATATATATATATATATATACATCTCCAAACATTCATATATGGGGAGAATCTGCAACTAGTAACACTATAATGACTTGGTAAAATACACATACATCAGGCTAGGGGAAGAGTTTATTGCAGAATCTATAAAACAATGTGTCCTAGTTCTTGATGATGGTAGTCTCTATAACGAGGTTGCCTAATTTGCAGATAGAAGCAGAAGGCATGATTATGGAGGAGTACAACCATATAGTAAATGAACTAGAACAAGTCCAGAAGGATCGAGCAGCTGAAGTTAAAGAGCTGATTTACTTGCGTTGGTGCAACGCGTGTTTGAGGCACGAGCTGAGGAGGAGGAATCAAGAGAATCAGGGACAAGCTGAAGAGAAGAAGCAGTTAGAAGTGGAAGTTGGAGGACGTGGAGAAATTGGAGACCTCGAATTAGAGCATGAATTGGATGCTTCCATGTTGGGGCAAGGTGAGTCACGTATAGCCATTGTTGCCGGTAGTCAATCTCACTCAAAAAGGCGAAAACTAATTGAAAAACTGAAGAGATGGGTGGAAGGGAATGAGAGAATAAAACAGAAATCGGATGAGAAACATGGAATCAAGTGCTTCGGAGGGCATTCTGTTTCAGATGGGGCAGAGGAATGGCATCTTCATGCAAGGAAGTCATGATCATACATTGTTAACAGGAGATGCATTGGATTTCAACATTTACTGCTATAATCAGAAAATATTAAGATGTAGTTCCTTAGTGAGGGCATATAGAAGAGCATAAGACTATATAAATGGAAGTAATTTAAGTAAAACCTTTGCTATGATTCAGATTATGTGCAGCCCTCATCATAATTGGCACCAATTGAATGATTTAGTAATAAGTTAGCGCGGTTTAGATAGTCGTCTTCACCATAAGCTTAATCATTTGCAGAGACATTTTCACAGCTCAAACAAAGCCTTAAATGTCAAATTGTCAATCCAGGTGATTCCTTCAGTCAATTTATCCAGAGCTGTATCTTCTTCTGTTACATGCTATAACCTAATATTTTTCTTGCATGGTTGATTAGGAGCATGGTAAGCCTATTTGTACTCTGGATGATAGATTAGTTTGGTTCCAGTACTTTCATAAAAAGTAAATCCCAATTGAAAGACAACATTCTTGTATGAGTTTCACATGAAATATCATCTCTATCATTTTTTTCGTAACTTATTCAGTCAGCTAAACGGCCTAAACCTCGACTATAAAATGGCATAAAATTTATTTTTTAAAATGTACATTATTGTGCAACTATTTCCACATTCATTTCAAATAACTCCCTACACTTTTATTATATAAAATCCATACATACAGTACTCTAAAATCAATGCAATACTCTTATTTAAATTTAAGACATAATCTCGAATCAATGCAATACTCTCATCCATACATACAATACTCTTCTTAAATTTAAAACATTGCTCCTTAAATAATTGACCTAGACTCGTTGATTTAAATTATTTCAATTCAAAAGGAAATGGGACACAATAATGATTTGAACGGTTGATAGTTTTACAAGTCTACACTAAAATTAACATTAATTTTGATTAGCAAAATACAAAAATTACCTATTTCATTTTCTTTTCTAAGCCAGTAATTTCTATTAATGTCATACCATCAAATAAAGTTTAAATTCATATTTTAATGTCTCCTTTTGGAAGTCATTTTAGCTCTATCATACCATGAAATAAAGTTTAAATTCATATTTTAATGTCTCCTTTTGGAAGTTATTTTAATAGCTAAAGGACTTTTAATATGGTGTCACAAAATATAATTCATTGAACTGAAATGAATTCTTGCCTTGGAAAGAACCTCAAAAAATGCATTTATCAAACATTTTTCTAATTCCTTTTTTTTTTTTTTTTTTCACAAACCTTTTTCTAATTCAAATTCCTAGAACTTTCTTGGTATGAAGCTCCATGGTTCTTTAAAGCTCAAGTCAGAAGACTTAACATCAACAGCATTGCACACAGTGAATTCAAACCCTATCCTTTCAAATAAAAGAAGATTTAATCCATCTGCTTCATTATCACAGCTTATTATGCAAAAATATTCAGATAAAAAGCCTCTTCAGCCATATGAACTAAGTAGCAGGAGATGGTAACTTGCCTACATGACTCCGCTAGAACCAACCACCAGAGATATGCAAGGAGCTGCACCCTTTTAAAAAACACAGATGCTATGTTCGGCTATATGGAAATGGAGCCTTGGAATTGAAATTGGTGGAATTTTTAAAAAAAACCAAACTCAGAAAATTAAACTAAAATTTTCTCAAATTCCAATTCCAAAGCTCCAATTCCATACAACCGAACACAACCAGAAACTTTTTGAACAATTTAAAATTTTGGAAAGAACACATAAGAGCTTGTCAACAACTCCCCTCAAGTCATATTAATTGCTCAAAAATAGATATGTTTTGTAATATAAATAGACTAAAAAAGAGCAGTTCTTTAGAGCTAGTAATGGAGATGTCTCAGAGATGGTAACTATCAAAAATCTTGCTCACTTAGAGCTTGAGCCGCAATGAAACCCTGTGTTTGGACAAAAGTGTTCTCAATTGCCTTTTCTCAGCTGACTGCAACCTCAGCTGATAGGTAGCTAGAATGAAGTGCATCCTGGCCGGAGACTTTGGCATTGGATAGCTTGAGTACCTGGACAGCTTCATCCACCTTGGCAGCCAGTGACTCTGGTGACTCCAACAACAAAAGCAGTTCTGAGTTGTCCATCTCCAAAAGCATTCCCGTTATCTTCGCAGCAAGATCAGGCTGAAAACAAAGTTACACATAATTTTGGATTAACAAAGTTACATAATTTTGGATTAATATCAAGAGCCTGTATGCCCTTCCAATGAGATATCAACTCAGGTTGTGCTTGGAAATAACAGTAAAAAACTGTTAACAGGAGGATGGAATGATCTACATCTTTTCAAGAAATAACGAGTCGAAACCATAATGCAACTTAAATTTGATATTTGAATTTTACAAACCGATGCCTCACTCCACTAAAAGCAAGACGTAGAAGAATCTTTTATGAATTATTTTCACATCAAAATTAGTCGAAGTTAATGAACTGAAACATGAACAGAAAACAAAATATTATACATAGAACCATTTCTGTGATTATGTGTACTGAAACATCCCAGCTCGCATATGCTTCAAGAACTATGCACCATAAAAACCAGATGATGAGCCAACCAGCGTTCAGTTCATTAAGTTCCCGGGTCACTTTGACTCACTCCCCTATGAACATATAGTACTAGATTCTTTTTATCAATTATTTTCACAATAAAAAATTGGTCAAAGTTAAAAAATTGAAACACGACCGGGAAACTCATCATCATCCAATGAACCAAATTTATAATAAATTATTACTAAAAGGATTCAGCTCGCATACGCTTCAAAAAAGTAGCCACACTGCACTTAACAACTAGCATTACCTTGTGTTTCTGGACAAGGGGGAATAGGCGCTCCCCAAGTATCTGTTTCTGCTGCTCAGGGGAAGCTGCAGCAAGCTTGGTGCTCAACATCTCTGATCCCTCGGCCCCTGCTCCAGCAGATGAGATTCCAGATCCTTTGGTGATCTCACGTAGACGCCCATTTGGCACATACCTAGCTTGACCAGCCCGCTGCAAAGCATGGCTCAGATGTAATAATTCGTAGAACATGGGTAGTAAATGTAAATGAATAAAGCATCACATTCACATTCATTTACTGTGCTCTTCCATGGTAAAATAAAAATGTAATGTTCATACATGCAAAAATGTTCATACATTCATACTACATGAATTCCATAAATGGAAGTCCAGTTCTAGATTCCATCTAAATGTTTACTGCAGTAACTATTGCAAGCACAACAAAGAATAGCACTCAATTTCAGATGAGATTAATAAGTTACAAGCTGGTATCCCAAAGTTTCCAAACACCTTCCAAGCACATTGAACCTTTCCGAAGAAGGTAGGCAGTTGAGGTGAAAATTCAATAGAAATGGACAAACAATTTGTAGATCTACTAACACACTGATATAAAAAGAAGATATGCATTCCAAAGGAAGGAAATTCGGGTATCTAACATTAGGAATGATTACGGATACAGTGAGTTTGCATGGGAAAATATCTATATGGCATGCAGGCACGCTGCTATTAAAGAAAAAACATATAATGGCCATAATGATGCAATGGATTAGGATGTTAAACAAGTGGCAATAAGATTCCAGTGTTCTAAAGAGAATGGAACATTCTAGCCAAAATTTCAGTATGAAGTTGGAGAATGAAAAGCCAGTTTCGGAACAGCTGGTGCTAATTTAAAAAGGCATTTCACGGCTTCGCAGTGCCTCAGAAGCAAGCTCTAGTATCAACCTAGATGAGGTCACCTTGACCCTTCATAGAAAATCATATGAAAATAAGAGAACGTGGACAGGTTTCTCAACAGTGAGTATAGCCCAAACAACAGTTCCTCCCATTGCTAGATGAGAGAGAGCAGAGGCCATCTCTCTTTGATACTATATTCTTTCTGGTTTGTTCATTAAAATTTTAGATTAGTCTACCATTACATCATTATATAACCAAAGAGAGTGGCCATTAGTCAACAGCCATTTACTGTATGAAAACAAAGAAACTAGTGAACCAGCATTGAGTGCTTCTTTTCCAGGTAATTAAGGTTCATCATCATGCGTCTTTTTGGAATAAATTTTTTCTCATGTCGGAATTTATTTGCAGGGTTTGTAATATATCTCAAATTAGGGCTGGTAAACAACAATTTGATCTGGATAGGACTAAAATTCTAGCCCAATTCGTAATTTGCTAAACTCATCAAATATGAGTACTCCTCATGCTAGAACATATTCTAATAGACCTTAATAAATCAGAAGTCTACTTTTCACAAACCACAAGGATATAATAACTAGTTCATTTAAAGCAAGATTTAAACACGGTGACAGACAATCAGTTAGCATAAATGGTCCGAATTGCATAATTACTCCAAAACTTCCAAGTATGAAGAATAAAGGAGAAGAGGTAAGGAAGAGAAAGCGGACCTGTTGGTTGCTTGTATCTTTTGATGAAGTAACTGATTGGTTTGGATGATGCAAATGCGGGACATATGTAGTGTGACCACCCCCCTGCAAAAGCGCAGGTCCATTCATCCTTCCTCTATTTTGCCTATTTTGTCTTGGAGTATTCGGAATCTGAAGAAGTTTTTAGGGCATAACCAATGTGAGCCAGTATCAACCATTGGAAAATTTTGGCATTGCCAAAATACTACTTCTCCAAATCAAGCCATTGATTACAAAGAATATAGATAGAGATCGAGCAAGATGAATATCCATGTAGCCAACACCAAATAACTAGAAAGTGGATCTTTTGAGTTGTTAAATGCTAGGTACTAACCATGGGCAGTGGAGACTGTTGAAAAGCTGATCTAGTGGGAGTTGCAAAGCCATTAGCCCTCCATCCTGGCCTCAAACCCAGCGGCTGATACATCAACCCTGGTCGTGGAGGTACCTGTGAAAAACCACCAGGAGGAGCTGCATAGTAAAGAGGAGGATATCCCTCAGGAATAATAGCCGAAGCACCCACTAGTCCTGCCATACGCTGCGCATAATGAATCTGTAATTGGGCATGCCTGTCCTCTTTCCTTTGAGCAATGGCCACATATAGTGGCTTTCGACGAAACATGTATCCTATAAAACATAAATGGACGATATACCAGTTAGTATTGAGAAATAACTACTTGTAGACACACACGAAAGGACACTTTCTTATACATGTTAAAAGACCAGAAATATGCGAGCAGAAAGGTACCCATTGAAGTTTCTGAAAATTATACTTCAATAGTATTGTTGCCAATTCTCATCTCAAAAGCAATAAACTTTTTATAGTAAATATAGCATAAGCAAGCACAATAATAAATTGTCAATTCACCATTCAGTCGGTATAGGGGAGGCTCTAACATGTGGGACTCATTTCCCAAAAACAGTCCTCTAGCACTATAAACACACCCACAGAAATTTAAAAATAATGGGAAAAGATCCCATCGAACCCAATGTAAAGAATGGTTCAGGTCGAAAAATGAGATTGGATTAACCTAACCTTAAGTTGATCGTTCTTCTAACCGAAAGGGCTTTTTTAGGAATTTGATTTGTTTACTTGAGGTATGGGAAATGAGTTTTTAGTCTTCTAGATAATAGATGCAAAACCACTATATTGGTTTGGATATATTTCAAGACAAAACAGTGGTTTTCTGTAACACACTTAGTAGAAGGTATTATTGGCAAGAAAGGAGAGTGGTTTCTCTAAGCCAACTGTAGGTCCATCTCTACGAGGAGTTAAGCACCATCTCCAGCAAGGAACTATCACAACCTTCTGAAGCTTTCACAGTGTTCTTGAGTTTATAAGAACATTGTGAGAGTGTTATATTTGTGAACTGTAAACTCAATAGCTCTTGCTAATATTCTCTTGTGCCTAACAAATGAAGTTTTTTGGGCAAGTGAAGAAACAAACATGGGAGCATGTTTAAATCAGACAATCTTTGTCAAAGGGTTTGACAAGTTGGACTTTCTTAAAAAGTAAATGTATTCTTTAAGAATAGAAGAAGGTACTCCGTAAGGACCTAGTATAAATTTCATGGTGTTTTTGGGTATTGTAAGAGTGTTCTCTTAGGGTGGTTGGGTTTTATGCCATTCTAGTAAAGAAAAATAAGAAGGAAAGAAAAGAAATCACACTGCCTCCCTCGTTGTAGTTTCTTCTATTGCTAGTGAATTACTTCTTGTCAAATAGCCCATAGATGTCGACCTTCGTGCCAACTCACCTCAGCTCAACTTAACAAAACCTCTTCCTAATGGTCAAGAATCATGTTTTTCCATTCTGCTCTATCTAATGGCAAACACTTTTGATGAGGCAAAGTGATGAAGAGCGGGATGGTGAGCACCAAATCAAAATTTCACTTGGTAAGAGATTGCATGTTTATGAGTGGTTTCAATTATTGGTGTGCTTGAAGTTTAAGAAACTTTGCTTTTGCTGATGTGTTGAGATGCACTGCAGACATTGACCAATGAACCAACATAAGTTATCCAACACGAAGCACACAATAGAGATTTGACACATCCTAGAGGGAAATAATTCAACATAAGTTGATCTAATATAAAATAAATCCTCGGATCTTTAATAACCTAGTAAAATAAATGATTAATTCACAAAACTAAAATGAATGAAATAGTAATAGAAAGCATTCATTACCTTACACTACATCAAGTTCAGACTATAATAAGGCAAGCAACAGTAAAACCTTAGATGAAAAGAAAGTATATAATTACATACGCAAGCTAATAATTTCACATCAATATGATATTTTACAAAATTGATAATCAAAATCATTAAATCTATTTCCATGTTGGCTTAAAGTATAATAAACCAATTCACATGACCTACAGCATCTTTGATCATGGCATCTAAAATTCTAAATTACATACACAAGCTAATGAACTCACCATGAAAAGTATTCACAGCATTATTGGCCTCCTCCGGCGTAGAGAAACAGACAAATCCAAACCCCTTACTGATACCTTTGTCATCTCGCATAAGTTTTGCAGAAGTGATGGTGCCACACTGACTAAAGTTTTCTCGCAGCTCATCATCAGTGATATCATCATCAATATTCTTTACATAGATGTTAGAACCCTAAAATTAAAAATTAAAAAATTACACACAAAATATATATATATATATATATATATATATATATATATATATATATATATATATAAATGCCACCAACGTAAATTAAAATGAAGAGAAATGTGCAGTGAGACTACCTGGTATTTCAGTATTTGCTCCTTCCGTTTCTCCTCAAACTGACGACGTAAAATTTGCTCACGTTCTGCTTTCTTCTGTGCCCTAGCTACATACAAAACCTTGGAGCCTATTCAATACAAACCACAGTATGGAATAAAGAGTTGTTCAAAATTGGGCAGTTGTTATTTCAGCAAATTAACCTCAGAGAGGAAACAAAATTTACCAAGTTGAGATCCATTCATAGCTTCCGATGCCCTCTTCGCATCATCTGGGCTATCAAAGTTCACGAATCCGAATCCTCTTGAGGCCCCATTTTCGTCCTTTGAGATTACTAGGCTAAGAATTTTCCCAAACTCGGAGAACTTCTCCTTAAGAAGTTCTTCCGTGACATCCAGATCCAAATTCTTTATGAATAGATTTGTGTATTTAGCATCGGGACTAGGTAAAACCCGATCACTTCTTTTCACAAACTTACCAGCATACCTGTGCCATAATTTTATTATAGATCAGTAAAAAATTATAGATCAAGAAATAAACGGAAAGGGTAAGACTTGGTCATTAACATGCAAAAAAAATGCATTAAAATGAGAGTGAAACAGGGAAAATTGGTTGTGCATACATCTGTTTGCCTTCAACAGTAGAGCCATTAAGCTCCTCAATGGAAGCATTTGCAGATTCCTCGGTCTCAAATTGGACAAAGCCGTATCCTTTGCTCTTCCCTTCCTCAGACATGGCAACTTTGCAAGACAAGATGGTCCCAAACTTTTGAAACATTTCATGAAGCTTCCCATTATCAATGGACTCACCCAAATTCTGCAATTACCCAAAGCCCAGTTTACATTCAAAAGTCAAATTGAGAAAAACACTAAACCTGATAAAAATAACTCAATAATGGATGACATGTTCAATCGAAAACAGATAAACAAATATAAATAACAGATATACCTTGACAAACACATTCCCAACTCCACTCTTCCTCGCATCAGGATCACGGTGTGACCACAGTACCCTTATCACTTTTCCGTTCAGGGTAGAGTTATTTTTCTTTTCAATAGCACGAACCGCTACTCGAATTAAAGAAAGAAAAAGAAAAACGAAAAGAGGCAAAATTACATAAAGTGAAACTCATATTCGGATAACAGCTTATATGGACAGAATCCGCATAAATTGTTCTCAATTAATAAATCATGACCTTCGTTTCTTCACTCTCAAGTCTCAACACATCAAAAAAAATCTTTACATTGCTACGATCCATAAAAGAGTATAGTGATTCGCACAATGAAACAAACCAATAAATAATAAATCACAATAAAACATTGGAATTGATCATCCTCAGTAAATTAAATCAAATTTTGTCTCTTGAGAAAAAAAAAATTCAATTTTTATCCTAAGTTATAATTAACTACATCTATGTGTAAATAGATACAAATATATATCCGTTCGTCGATTAATTTTCGATAAATCAAACATTTCAACGGCGAATTATAACCAAAATTGAATTAATCAATCGATGAAATCAATAAGAAGAAACAGGTTTGGGATCGACGAAGACTGTACCGTCTTGAGGAGAGACGAAGTTGACGTAGCCATAACAGAGAGACCGTCCGGTCGACGAGTCTCGGCAGACGCGCACGGACACGAGGCTCTTGAACTCGGAGAACGCGTCGAAGAGCTGTCCGTCAGTGACGTCGTGGTGGAGGTCGCCGACGTAGAGCGACGCCGGAGCGGCGGGGACCGTCGGAGGAACCGCCATTGCCGGAAAATTGCAGCACCACAGCAATGCAAACCAGAAATGATACTTTCAGAGAGAGAGAAATCTTAGAGAGAGAAAGAGATGTGAAAATAATCAAAGTGCCGTTTCCGCTCGGTATTCATATTTGACATTTGATTGTGTACTAAATACAGAGAGAGAAATTAACCCTTTTTCCTTCTCGATTGAGAATTTACTATAAATAGAGTTATAAAGGACCAGGAGAGAGAATAACATTAATAATAGAGTAATTAAAGGAAAATAATGAATAAAATGTACAACAAAATAAAATGTAGATAGGGATTGGATTGCATACAATTACAAATACAATTCGGAGATGAATACAGAGAGAAAGTTATGGAGTTTTCTTCGGAATTGCATGGACGCGGGAGTTTGGGGCGTTCGTTACACCACAAGGAGACGAGTGTTTAAGGCTATTCAGACGCGCATGCGAGGAGCGTGAGAAACACCATCCTCCATTGGATAAAGAAATACAACAGAACATTAGAAGCTATGGACCGTACATATTCTATATTCCCATCTGGATCCGCTTCTTCATATGGGTCTGGGTTGTGGCCATAAATCAACTTTTTAATTTTTATTTTTGCACTGAGCAACTTAATATATTAGATCCAATGAAAAAATAATAATAATAATAATAATAACTAAATACATTAGATCAATTGGTTATAGTATACGGTGAAATAATTGGTCTTTCAAAAGTAGAGAGTTAAATTGTATCTTAATGTAATAGTGTTAAAAGGGTATTTGTTCGGATCCCAATGAAAAGTGAAAGATATAAATAGGTGGATATGTAATACTCTTCAGCAGTTTAAACTTTTGGGTAAATGAACAAACGTTCACCAGTTACAGTTGATTTCAGAGCCAAATCTAGTTCTTGATCCGATGTCACACCAAACGCTCGGCCCAAAAGGCATTCGAGTGAGCCACCCAGGTAGGCATGGTGACCCGACCGTAATGAGGGCGTTAGGAGTTCAGATGAGGAAAAATGTTAAAAGGGGTATTTGTCCACATCAGATCCAAATAAAAAGTGAAAAGAGTATAAATGAATAAGTATAAAATACTATTCAACAATTTAAATTTTTTAATAAATGGCAAACGTCCACCTGTCACAACTATTATAGCTGAATGGATTCATCACTCATTCACATGAGTGTGAGAATGAGTTCCAAAGCTTTTATCATAGCTCATAACATAATTAAACGAATTTAATAGTTATTATTTTATTTTAGTTGAAAAGAATAATTAAAGTGAAAAAATAAGGGTAAATTAATTTGCAATTTAATTTTGTTGATGTAAACAAATTAACAAATGACATATTTTTGTAACCAAACATAAACAATTTCTATAATGATCTTAAAGTTAAGAAAAGATTAGTAGTGAGCAATTTTAAAATTTAATTATTAACAAGTGACCATTTAATAGTTTATTACCTAAATATTCTTGTTGTAATATATTATTTTTTAATTGGATAAATTTATCCTAACACAATAAACTGATGTATGATATTAATTGTCATTTAAATTACTACACTTTGTTTATATAATAAACAGTACACATATGGACCCAATCCACATATTCACAATTGTTTATTTATAGTGTAGATACAGCATATATTTATTTGTTTTAGGCTTAGTTATGTACTTAGTATGTCTTCCGACCATAGTGAAGAGTCTTGAAAAAAAACATAACGAAAACCTAATTTTAAGAAGGCTTTAATTGTCGAGTGTGGGGATGTAGAGTGGAACATATGGTCACAGTGGTTGTTAAATGTTCTTTTCCCGGACTATATGTTTCTCCTTGAATGATATGGTTTCTTCTTGTTGTTAAAATAAATAAATAAAACTAATTTTAAGAGATGATGTTATTAAAGAAATTTTAATTTTTTAATTGGAAGGCTGCAAATTAAATGGGAAAACAGATAAAATGGCATTTTTGTTCTCTAAATATATTTTTAGAATGTGTAATAAAAAAGTGTGTTTGACCAAATTACCTTTAAATGGTCACTTGCTAGCGATTAAGTTTCAAAATTGATGACTTTTCATACTTTAAGATCACTTTTGAGTAATATTGTTTATGTTTGGTCACCAAAATATAAATTTTCCATCATTTGACTCTGGGTGTAAATAGTAAAGAAAGACAAATGATACATTCTCTGAATGTTAAATTCATAAAACACGGACGTGTTAATCAGGTTATGAAATGACAAATTTAACATTACTATTTAATGTTAAATTAAAAATTAAAAATTATTTTTTAAAATTACAAAAACACCCTTTAATCTTCTTCTTCACCCCCTCTTTAAAACTCTCACCCCTCTCTCCCTAAAGCATATTTTTTTGTATCCAACCCATTAACCAGGTTATGAAATGGCAAATTTAATCTTATTATTTAATGTTAAATTAAAAATTAAAAATATTTTTAAAAATTATAAAAATACCCTTTAATCTTCTTCTTCACCACCCTCTAAAATATATTTTTTGTAATTTTAAATGGTATTTTTGTAATTCTTAAAACTAATTTTTAATTTTTAATTTAATATTAAATAGTAGGATTATATTTGTCATTTCATAGCCCCATTAACTGGTCAGATATGGATATTGAGGTAATATGATCACTTTAAAAAGGTGTAGGAATTTTCTGAAAGAGGTGATCAAAATTTAAAAGTAGCGCAAATTTTATAATTTTTAACCCTTCTCTAAAGTTGAAATCGATCAATAAAAATATGTGAGCGGAGTGGGGTGTGGTATGAGTCACACCACATGATATTATAGTCATATAATATGAATGGACCACACCCCCACTCCACCAAAAAAAAACCAAGTCAATATTTTTCGAATTTTGAATATGGCTAATTTTGGCTCTCATCTAATATAATGAATAGGAGATCATACAATTTAGCAAATTAATTAATCATGCCTTTTGATTATATGTTCTATAATTTAGGTAACTTATTTAAAAGCTCGGCTAAAATTGCCAAACAAATTCAAATACGTACAATTTATTATTATTTTTAAAGTGTTTCTATACATTTGAAAAAACAATCCCAAACAGGCGCAATAGTGGAATTAATAAGACATAGCGTCTTCCAAATTCAGCAAATCATTAATCACTAACAACTATTCATAGTTATTGTTGTAGGCATTGACCTGGACGCAATAAAAAACAAGACTGTCATCCATTGGTCTTTTTTAGCTTTATTCTTGTGTAAAGATTTAGACTATAATTAAAAATAAAGTAATTATATACTTAAGTCACCCTAAAACGGAAATCTTAAATGGTCAAGTTTAAAATTTGTTGTACATTGGAAGATACATACTTTTTCTACTTAATTCATTAATATTTTTATTTATCAAATATTATTTTTTGTCAATTTTTTTTTTTTTTTAATATATAAGACTATTTAAAACTAATGGGATAATTATTTATAAGTTTTATAATATTTATATTTTTAATTGGGTCATGTATATATCATTGACAAATGTTGGCCTAGCCCCTTTTCTTCAAATTTTGTACAAGATTTTGTCTTTATGATTTTCTTATTTATTACTATTCAAATTTTGTAATTACAAATTATTTGTGCATTTATTATTGGATCACATCAGTTGTAGGAAGGCTCAGACAACACAAATTTAAGCAAAAACTCAATTTGCAAATTTAGGGTGAATCCGCTCCCAAGTCAGTCAATCAGTGTTCGGAACTTCGGAGTGGCACCTCCTCCAAACAAATTATGTGACTAAACATACAAATTTTAGATAACAATAATTAAAATAAAAAAATGTATGATGTATACTTTCAAAGAGAAGTTATTGGAGTTTTTATGTGTTAATTTGTACTTTTCAAAATAAAAAATTAAGAAGTCACACGTGCGAAGAAATACCAGCATAGAGGCTAAAGTATTGGTTCTATTGGATGCGTCCGGCACGCACGAACACAAATTGTAGACATGCAAACCGTGCACCGAACACACCGAATATTTATCTCCAGAGTAACGAAAAGGGGGGGGGAGTAAAAGTGGGTAACAGAAGTAACCCCATGACCTAAGACTTCTTCAAAGCAACAATGATGGCCTTTCTTTCACAGCCAGACCTTAACCATCCGGGGCGCCCTATTCCACGGACACCAAACCCTATTCGCGTCCTCTCTCCTCCACTCTTTTTAACCCCCCTTTTTTCTTTTTCTTTTTTTTTTTTCAACGATAATTATATTAGTAGTAGAGTAGAATTAAACGTGAAAGGACATGAAGCATGCAAATGTCTGCCTCCTACCCATGTTAGTTGTTCATTTTAAAAATTAATTCTTAATATTTGTAAGTCAAAATTACTGAAGTAGACATCTAACGTGGGATATAGGTAGTATATAAGTATATAAAAGAAATATGACTAAAAATGATTTCAAATGATTCAAAAAATAAAATGTGGTAATAAGTCAAAGTTTTTGAAATGAACAAAAAATATGGGACGGAGTTAGTATTGCTTTTGCACTATCATGTTGCATTCTTGCTACGTTTAAGAGCACAGAATCAACATTTTTTAGAAATTTTAGTTTAAAACTTTCATTAACTTTTTTTTTAAATCCCAGATCCGTGTATTTTATCTTCATTTAAGGCTTGCTAATACAACAGGTACTTCAAGTGCACAATAACTACCAAAAAGTAAAAGGAGATTTAGGTTGGAAAGATGTTATAAAAGAGAAAAAAAGATGGTGTCCGCTGTCTTTGGGCCGAAGAAAGAAGTGAAACTATCTAAAAGACATGGCTTTGGATACATTGATTGGATCTCACTTTACTCCAATCAATGTATCCAAAACTACATTCCTAATATGCTCCCTCCAAAATAGTGTCTCGATGGAGTTTGTGTAGCTACCCATTATATCACGTCACTGTTACAACAGTTATAATGAATAATTTCTCGTGGGGAGGGAGAAATCAAATGAATTCGAATTTGAATATTACATTTATGTTGAACTGAATCGAATGTCGACCTAGTGGTTATAATTATTTCGGTAGATATACACAGTAATGGACTCTGAAGGTGTGAGTTTGTACGTCTATAGCTACAATGGTTAGTTGGCATAAGTTTTCAAATACTCCTGATTTTAAATTTCTATTATTTTTTTTTATTTTTTATTTTTTTATTATTTTTTTAACATGACAAACAAAAACAAAGCAAAGCATCAACAAAAACTTGCCCACCAAAACTACACCTAACCACCCAACTGAGCAGGCAAACCATGGAACACCTGACTAAAAAGAGAATGCCGACCAAGTGAAAGCTTTGCACATGATCAATCCGAAAAACATGAGAATCATTCCAGAGCTGATGAATATCAAAGACCAAGGAAAAAATGGCTGTAGGACAAACTCTATCTCTCCACACAGCCTCATATAACACCAGAGAATCAGTTTCCACATACAATGAAGGAAACTGAAAACCCTGAGCCCAAAGCAAAGCCTCTCGCAAAACAAACGCCTCTGCCGAAAGGGCTGAAGAAGCTTTAAAAGACTTGAGCACCACCACGCACAACACGACACCGTGATTGCAAAAAACAATTCCACCCCCAGCCCAACCTTGACCAGTAAGGAAAGCAGCATCAACATTACATTTAACGGACCCAAAATCTGGAGGCTTCCACCGAGCACAACTAGAAAGAAATTTCTATTATTAAGAGGGTGTTTTTGTAGTCTCAGAAATTTCTTCACGGTACCCTTGACCTCTTTCCGTCTTAACCACGCTTGACACTGCGACTATCCTACATACGAACACTTCGGCATAACCCAAAATTCTCTCACTCAAAAATAAATAAATAAAATCCTCTATGAAACTTGACCATATCACATACCTAATCTATCATTTCACACAAAAACAGTGACTTAAGTGCCACAATCCCTCCACTTGGTTCAAACTAGAATTCGGATTTGGACTAATTGAACCTTTTTTTAATTTTAGATGCAGAAATATAGACATAGTACATACTTTAAATGAAGAGACAAAAAAGAATTAGACTAAACAAAAAGGCACAAATAAAAACATTAACAAGGTAGAATAGATGATATTAGCAGCAGTTGAGGAAGGTGGGAGCACGTTGCCAACCAACTTTTATCATTAGCAACAAATCCTAAAATCCAACTTAGAAGTAGAAGCAAAAATTAAATGAAATTACATATTAAAAAGAAGTTGAAAACCGAAAAAAAAAAAAAAAATTTTGATATTACGACACCTATCATACCGTTACATAAATTACTATTTAACCACACCAACAATGTAAAACTTAGGATTTCACGTGATAAAGAAACTTGGGGGTCACAAAAACTAGTATGAAGAAAGAATTGCAAATATGAATGTCTTACAATAATTAGAGAACAGCTTTACAAAATTGCACCATATTTCTACAGTTCTTGCCAACTCAAAGGAACAAGCTAGGAATAAATCTTGTCCTGCTCCCCCGGGTGACGATAACTTGATTCTACAACTCAACCAAGGAGTATGAAGATATTTTACAACGCTAGCAAAGCTCAAGACGGAAGACCCTTTACGAGGAGAAAGCCGAATATCTAGCCCGAGTTGGCAGAAGACACAGGATCCCCATCAGTGGAAACTAGAATGAGGTCAGAACTATATACATAGACAGGCAGCAGCGACTCAGAGAAGTCTGAATAATACCAACATTTGCTGCCGATTGCGATAAATAAAAATCGGCCAAGCCAATGAACATCAAGCAAAGAATGAGATTTAGAAGCTGAAGATTGCGCTACAACAATATCAAAAGTAGAAACCAAATGAATATTATTGTTTCCACATAACGAGAATTGGAGGCCAAAGGCATCCGCTCGAAGATAGTATTTCTTGGTGAGCTGCTCACTCTCAGCTGTCCTGCATTGACAAATTCCTCCTTACCAAAAGTTATGGAGACATTTACGGGCGAAGAACCTGAACAAGAGATACTCAAATCAATATGGTGGAGCTGGGTGAGAGTTTGATTCTTGGAAAAATGACAGTTAGCATCTAATATATTGAACTTACAATCGTAGTCAGCCCATCCAATCCGTTGACGAGCTAAATCATAAACAAATATCTTATCTTTAAGCACAAGATCTGCCAAAAGAAAGAAATCAGTTAGTTCATCAATCTCAAATGTTCGAGAAGGTGAATGTGGGAGGAAGACACTGAAACCTCCAAATGCAAGATGATTCGTAATATTTTAAAGAATACAAGAAGAAATTAAAATTAACATTCCGTCAGTGTTGCATTTTCAATAGTTTCAATCAATCAATGATGAAAAAATCAAAGAAAGCAAACATAATAAAATGATTAAGATTAAGAAGAGAGGTCTAAAAACCTAATTGAACAAATTTAATGAGAGAGAGAGAGTGACTTGGAGCCTAATTGTGACTTTGAGCCCCATTGTGACCAATGCATGAATTCGAGTCTATAAAGTTGGAGATGTGAATTGTGTTAACACAAGAGGATGCAATGGAATGGATCTGAACTGAATTCATGTGAATACAAATTTAGTTTAATAATTTAGTGTCAGGATTCATTTGGATCTGGATCCAAATTTGGAACCTATGGACATGATCTATATCAGATCCATATAACAAAAACAGGATCCTAAAATTAAAAAAAAAAAGTGCTAGATTTGGCTGGTTCTCGAGTTAAACCCAATCCGTATCATCAATATCCAATCCATTTTTAAACTTGGATTCAAATTAAAATCCAAGCCTTTTATTAAAATGGACTTCAGATCGGATCTTTAGCTCAAACCCTTTCCATTTCAAGCCCTAGTGAACACTATATAATCCTAGCTGAGACTTGACATGTTTCTCAGGGAAATGAGGGAATAAAAGTTTCATGTACCTTATATTTTAAGTAAATTTATTTTCTTACTAATCAAATTTAGAAATCAAATAATGGGCCTTTGGCACAAGACCTTCTGCAGCTCAACATCATTTCGTTCATCATGTTCTTTTCATTTTTTTATTTCCTATCCATCCACCATTATTATGCAGCGTTATTGCACTATAATTGATAATTATCTTACTTGCAAATTGAGAAACAAGAACGTTGAGCAAAACCTATTAGACATCCACAATGCTCTATAAGGTCAATAGACTTAGGCTTGCAAATTTCGTTCGAAACAAAAGTCTTTAATCATTGCATGTTTGTTTACATTTTAAAGTAAATTGAATTACCAACATGGGGAGGGTAAAATGGTAAATAAAATTCTCGATTATGCACCACAAAAATTAGGGTTTCATGTTCATGCATTCTCATCATTATTCATGATTAGGGCTCACAACAAACATGTTTTGATCCTAAAAAGAAGTTTTGAATGTCTAAAGATTGTTTTTAAAGTGAAAAGCGCAAATATGCCCAATTTACTTGCACCCCCTTTCCCACTGTATGCTAGTCCATCTCTACTCATCTATTTCTGCCAAATTGTAGGGAGTTCTTGTACTCTTATATTTGTACAACGAAGACCTATAGATGAACCAGAAAAAAGAGATACTTTTTGGCATAGAAGATAAGAGACAAGAGGGCAACCGAAATTAACATCAATGAAGTTATAAAGAATGATTTGAAAAGTTAAAAATATAATAGGAGAGATGACTAATAATAGAAAAGAAATACAAGCATACATTGAGCATAGAGAGGCTATTGAGTGCATTCTACCAATCAAACTACTAGAGATATTATTCCTTTCATTTATCAACTTAATCCACACGAACCCAAATTTTATACAACTAGTAAGGAAAAACAATCACAAGATGAAAATTGAATCGCACGATGAGCGGGTTTGTAGATCGTCAGCAGCAAATTTCGAGGAACATCTGGTGTGAGAATCGATCTGAGACAACTAGGTGTTTCTAAGGTTTAAAAATTGAGTTGTATAACTTTTTCTATAGTGGACTTAATTTTCCTGGACTAGGACCTGTGATTTTTTCCTATAGGATATTTGGCGTAAATTTGGTGTTCTTGTGTGGTCAACTCCTTATATTTTCTGCACTATACTAAATTTTACTTGATTGCTTAGTTAATATTTAATTTTAGTTTATGTAAGATAGTTGAAATTTGAAATTCTCTTAAAGGTCTAGTCCAGAATCTAGTGTATAATGTATCGGAACCGTGGGTATCACTCCGATCCCTCATCCTCTTGTATCATTGATCAAGTCATAATATGTTCTTTGAATGAGAAATGAAAGCTTTAACAAAGATAAATAAAGGAGAGTAAAAAAAAATGAATGAATCTTTCCTCAAAGAGAGCTTGTAGCGTCAAGAATAGTTGAGACAAAAAAAAAAATGAAAAAGAAAAGAAAAACTTCAGTATTAAACATATTAACTTGCCAAACAGCAACAGAAGTCTCCCATAACTCAACTCAACTCAACAAAGCCTTTTAACCAACTATTTGGAGTGGGTTACATCAGTCATCTTTTCCCATTCCACTCTATCAAAGGTCATAGGCTCAGTCAAACCACATGTTAGCATATCTTTCCGCACTCTACCCATTTTTATTTTGGACTTTCCATTCCCCTAACATTGCCCTCAATGTGGACCATGTCACTCTTTTTAAGTAGTGCAATTAGTGATCCTCTTTGATTCTACTAGAGGTGACACAAGTAGAATCAGTGCAAAACTTGGAAAGTATCAGTGACAATTCAGAGAATCGGAGCGACTTGGGCCTAACTCGGCCATGACTACTTGACTACAAATGCGGTGTGTCATTGTGTGATGAATATAAAAAACTTTTGAGTCACTGCATTGTGCTACAACCACTTACAGTAGATTTTTGTCCATTGAAATAATTTGCAAAAAACTAACCTCCTAAAATTGTTAACCCATGATCCTGAACTTTTTGAAAGCCAATACACCACAATGCAGCCCGATCCTGTATCAATAAAGCCCATTTTAGTTTAACTAATGAAAATAGCATCAAATGTTTCACTGTTAACTGAAATTATTACCTTACAAAATTTGAGAAAAAATAAAGAGGTAACTCAAAGAACTCACAACAAAACCCGAATGCACAAGGTAGTCTTCTGGCTTTAGAACCATGGAGGCACCACCGGCAAAATTTAAAGAAACAGGAGGAAATGTCTCAATTATACTGTATATAGAATAGAAAAAGATCCAATTCAGGTGTCGAATTAAATTTCTTAACTTAACAAATGAATATCAAATAAATATTTTAAAAATCATTTATAGGATGAACCTTGTGGAGGCTAGATAGCACTGGTACCCTTTTGAAAGGATAGGAGTAACGGATTGTGAAACACTGGCAGTTATCTGCACAATTAATAAGCAAATAAAATTTCAAACTTGCATAAGCTTTATGAACATCTTGCAACAAAGCAGCTTGCTTTCCGAGCTTCTAAAGCATCAAGACGAAACTGGAGAAAATTCTCCAAAGATGATTGCATATTTATTTTAAATGATGAGGACAGAATGATGTTTAGATGGACTGTTTGAACAATTAATTTTGAAAAAAAACCAATATCTTAAATAGTTAAATGTTGGCGCTGCCAGGTTACTGTCAACTTAACCAGGGAATCGATACAGCAGAAATTAACCATGCCTCAGTAAAGACTTTTCCATTTACAGAATCATCATCATGGAATTCTTGAGGATGAAGGCACTAAAAATGGTGTATATAAAGTGCCCTCTAACATATAAAAGCTTTATCATTGGCTACATCTCCTTTTCATGACCAAAACCCATCTTTTTAAAGTTCGGTCAGGTTTAACTGGAATATAATTTCACTCCTATCAAATTTGAAAATAACATAAAAGGGGCTAGGAAAAAGAAAAAGAAAATAACATAAAAGGAAAAACAACTTACAGCACTGACAAATGGATCATAAGCTTCTCCCACAAGGTATGTTAAAGTTGTTCCAGAATCAACTATGGTCCCTCGGTTGCTTGATGTTTCAAATACTGCTGAATTAATAGGCAACGCCTGCCCATTGACGGCAATGCTTTGCAGATACAAATTATAATGAGACCTGAAAAGTTTGAGGCCAAAAATAATCAAACTTAATGCAAAATTAGTATTATTATTTTCCAAATCACCATCTTCGATGCATATTATTGACAACAAGAGTTTGAAAGAGAACTACTAGATTTTGGTCTTGCTGATTCAGAAAAGATCTTAGAGTAACAGTATTAATGTGCATCAAAAAGATTTACAAAACCAGAATCTTAGTGCAGCATAACTAATTTTCATAATAAGAAACAGAAGTCTACTTAACAAAGAAATAATGCATGATATCAACGCTAAGAGTGGTGGAAATTTTACACACTTCGAGTTGGCACAAGGTTCAAAGAGAGGTTCCAAATTACCAAAGGAAATCATATGATCTATAACGATGACCAATTTTCCACAATAATTTTCAACAACTAGGTTGCTATTTAGTATCATCAAATTTGTAAAACACTCCTTGATGGATACCCCAAAAGCTTCATAACATAAAAGGCAATGACCAAAATAAGAAGGAAAACAGATGATACGGACAGCAACAGTCTGAATAGCATGGTATTAGATGTGGCGTCTAGAGATTAAATTACATAACCTTACTTACTTGCCAAGCTTTGTTTCAAAACTCAAAATAAGCATACGTTGTTGCTTTTGGTATTTAGAAAAGAAAATAATTAGCTTTAGGAAGGAGCTGAAGTTTTTTCAACTCAAACATGATCTGAACAAGTACAGTACAAGTGTATATGCATGGTAAAATTCCCTTTGAGGATAACATCAAATGAGTGTATGTGTATATATATATAGAGGTATCATCCGGCTAAAGGGTATGTAGATGATACACAGCCCGAGCAACCACATTATGTGGCATTCAAAAAGCAAGGCACAAAAACATTTTCTAGTTCTTTATCGCAAAAGTACCAAGGCAAACAACATTTTCAAGTTAGTTAAGTATCCACCTAAACATTAATACATTTTATCATGTTAATAACTCCTCTTGCTATGGTTTTTAGTAAATGAATACATATATATTGACCATCTCAAAATATGTGTCTTAGTTCCACGGTGGCACACCCTGTCAACTTTTAGAATTTGCAATTTCGTCGTGTCACATATCCATATCTTTGCATCTTAACATGCAAACACACGATATATATATAGCTAAATACGAATTGACTCATACAATAGGTATGGCCGACTGGACCACTAATGTGTAAATGAGATATTATCAGAGTCAAACTGCACCATGAGGTAAATGCAGAAGGTAAACGTAAGAGCAAAATATACTGCAATTGGATGAATTAATACATAAGAGCATGATAGTCTTAAATTTGCTACTACAACATAGAAAAACATGTCCAAGAAAAGAGTAATCAAGATAAGGGGGAAAAAATCCCATGCCGCAAAGAATACATACTGTGATGGGACAAGGGGACTATAGACAATGCTTGGATCCAAAATCTCACCAAGAACTAGCATACCCCCTCCATTGCCATCTCCTTTCAAGCAATGGGAGAACACTTTAGGAGTAATTCCTTGCGATGACAGCTGTGATATAACAGAGAGAGCCTGTCGCCCGAACCCAAAAATCCCATCAATTGCTCTATCCATTTTAGTTAAGTCCCCAGACTGATGAGTGCTACACCTGTCTCCCAGAGCACCATGAAAAACTATAAGCTTCAACTAACAGAACCAAAATGAACATTGACAGGGGAGAAAAAAGTAACATAGCAGGATGAAGAGAAGGGTGTACTAAAGAAGGAAACAAACAACTCCTCATATGTTGCAGGTGAAAAAAAAAAGAAAAAAGAAAAGTTAAGATCAGTACTTCTCCAATCCCTTCTTTGGTAATAAAACCCTTACAGCCTCATCCTTCACTGTTTTTTTTTTTTGTTGTTTGACACCATTGATCATTCAAATATTGGATAGTTTATTAGTTATCATTCAAGTATTAATTAGTTTATTATGATTAAGTTGTGCTACCGTTGTTCTGCTAGTTATGACAACATACAATAGTCAAAATGCTTGTCAAGGACTCTTAGATATAAATATATAGGGTCTAACTGGTTTCTGAAAATGGAAAACAGTTATCAAAGAAATGAACCAAATAAGCCCAAATTGTTGGGTTTCTTTTTACTCTTCTTCCCATCTCTTCTCTTTATTTTATGATTGTTTTCAATTATATTCCATGTCATATGCATGCACAATCTCATAGAATCCATAATAACTTACCCAAAAATAATTGAAGCTGAAGAATTAGCACTGTAAGAGGGCCCTAGTATCATGTCAAAATATAGTAAATCAGATACATAATAACCAGATGTCCCACTTCCATCTCCATATTGGAACGTGTAAGTACATTGGTTATTCTGAGGAGAGCATTCAGCGGCTGGAGTCTGAATTACAGAAGCACATACATGGTCTGAACAGGAAATCAGAGAAGAAGATGATGAGCTGGCAGCATCAAAGAAATTGAGCTCAATCTGCAAACAGAAAACAATATTACTATGCAGTCCAATTCCAGATTTCCTATTCGTTCGACAAACTCAATAGATCAAAGGCTCGATAACAAAATCATGAAAACAGAAAGTTACTCCTAGTCCACTTGATTGGGGGCAGTCATTGCAGGAATTGCAGGTGACCCACAAAATGTCACTTCCAGTATCAATCTGCACATTGAATTCTCTTGGTGGAGAACCCAATTTCACTTTTGTAAAATAAAGCCTACAATAAAAACGAAAATCCCAATTATGGAAATAGTATATGCCATATTAAAATATGCTCATTCATCTCATCAGCCCAATAAAGCTCTACCAAGAGAGATTAATTTTAAAAATAATAATAAATAAATAAAACAAAAGAGTTTTTTTCGGAAAGTAAACAAACAAGTTGAATAAAGTTCATAAACAATAACATTAGAGTTGAAGAATATAGCCCATGCAGTGCACATAAATTTAATAAATTACAAGACAACCATCAAAGTTCACAATCAAAACAAAATCTGAATACAACCAAGACGCGCGCATACACATAGAGAGAGGAATTCAAGAAATCAATCAAATAATAATAATAATAATAGTAAAAGGAACCAAAGAGTAATTGGTAAATGACATCCAAATACCAAAACCAGCAAAAACCCAAATTAGCAACCTTTTTTTAATGAAAGTAAAATATAAGTGCATCAAAGCCGGTTAATTTCAGGGAGAATTGACTTAGTAACATGAAAAAAAAAAAAAAAAAAAAAAAAAAAAATTATATAGGAGGATCTCTAACACATGTAGAAAAAATACTCTTACATGTTAGAATTCCTCTTTTATAATTTCTTTTTCACACTATTTAATCTTAATTTCAAGCCAGATTACTTACGTAAATTTATGCACAAAAGTACACACATATATATGTATGATGCTATAAATTGCAAGCTTTACCACATAAGAAAGAAAATAAGTATATAACAAGTGCAAATCCCTAATAATAAGAAGAAAAGAAAAGCGAAGAATAAGAATATAAGATATGGAGTCATGGAATGAACAAAGAACCAAAATTTCCATAAACTTATCAATTTATCAACTGCTATTGGGAAAAAAATAAATACATAACAACTATAATTCCCAACAAAACAACTTTTTAAATAAATAAATAAAACAGAGAGAATAATAAGAATATAAAAAATTGAGTTATTTACAAGGAAATACCCAAACTTTTCACAAATTTGTCAATTTATCATAAACTATTAATCATAAAATGTAAAGAAACAAAGGAAAGAGGAGTACCCAACGAGGTAGGGATCGGAGGTTCCAGCGACGGTGAAATCCACGACGCCGCCGACAACTCCATGCAAGATTCGTGCGTGCCGAGCTCGGTCTCGAGCTCTGAGTACGTCGAGCTCCACGCTCTGGTTCGCTGGAAAAGCCCTCTCCAGACTCAGAACACTCGCCGGAAAGCCACCACAGTTCACCGACACGGCGGCGAAAGCCAGAATCAACAACAACTCCACGCCAGCAATCGCCGGCATTTCGGTTCCCAAAAAAAAAACTATATATATAAATATGTATAGTATATCTGTGTTATCTGTATATCATGTATATGTGAGTGAGACTGCGTGTGCGCATTTACATATTCATATAATGAAGAGAATTATCGAGGTGAGTGGAGAAGATCTAGGCAGTTGATTTTGTGCAAATTTTTAGAGAGAGAGAGAGAGAGAGAGGTGACTGTACATGTCATAGAGGAAAGCTGATATGTTTTTTCAAAAATTGGATTTGGACAGAGTGATTAGCTTCTCTGGTGTCGTGACTTCTGAGTTGGACACAAGGACTTTGTCATTCATACAAAAGGTTGAGATTTGAGAGTCCATTGGGCTGTAAAAAGTCAAAAATAGGGTATGTCAAGAGTTAATGGAATACTGTTCTATGAGGGTATTTCTGACTATACATGGACTAACTGACCAACAATGTTAGTATAATTTTTATTTTTTTTCTATTAAATAATTTTGACTAGGTTATGCATATTAAAGTGCGTAGTCCACACGCTTGACCAAACGCATATGATATTTGGTCATAAGTGAATTACAAGTAATGAATGTAGTGATACATTTATATTAAATTAATTTAATTATATCCCTTATTTAGTACGAAAACAATAAATAAGACTTTACTAGTTTTAAAAAATAGGGAGTTAATAGGTGACCATTAAAATTCTTCTATATTTTGCTTATAAAACTTTTCAATTAAAAAAGGGTACCAAAGCTAAGAATTGAAAATGTTGAGAATTCTTTCGTAAATCAAGTGACAAATTACTTGCCGTTATTTTTGAAAATTCCGTTTCAAATCTCCATTAATTACTAATTCCTAACACTATTGTTATGGAAAAAAGACAAAAAAAAGTGGGACATTATCATTATTGATGGATTAATATCAAACTTCCCTGCTGCACTGCGGTGGTGTGCCGATGTAATGGAGAGAAATTTTGGTCAGCAATTGATGGTGGCGAAAAGCTTGACGTTAGATATCAATCAAAGGGACCACATTTAATGCTAATAGATATGGATCGTTTTATGTACAGACAATCATAAATCTATAGCGGGAACCTTTTGCGAATGATTATAGATTGCAAAGTGAATTGTCTTTAAAAAAAAAATAAAGAAAAAATAAAGTAATATTATATATGAATAGGATTAAAAAAAAAAAAACAGTGCATTAAATATGGATGGAACTCTGAACTGATGTATAATAATATTATTTTTTATTTTTATTTTTTGGACTAGCCCATGTTAGTCCTTCAGTAACTCCGCCCCTAATTATAAGGTTAATTAGGTTTCAAAACAATGTTAAATTTTAAGCAGGCTTAAAGTAGGTTTGGACTTACTTAAAATTTGGGATTGAAAATTGTATATATATTGATTTAATAGTAATAAATTAATCAAAAGATTTGAAGGTACATGAATAATATTTACAAGGAAAAATTGGATATTGCATATTTTTTATTTTTAAATACACACATACAATTCAATATATTGTTATATTTAACTATCTTTTAATCATGCTCACTTAAGTCTAGAAGATTTGAATTTTAACCCTGTATTGTGGCGCACGCAGTCACACATAACATCCAACACAAGTATACTAATTTTAGCATCAACCTTTTTTAATAAAGTATCCAAACTTAACATCGACGTAATATATTTTTGTTGATATTAAAACGATTACTTTTCTTGTTGATACACTTTTGCAAGATTCATTTATATTCTTTTATTATTTTATAATCTATTAAAATAAAACAACAAAACCACCGCACCAATTTGACTGGGGGAGAAGAAAGCCCGGTGCATGCATACGCATTGGATGCATTTGTTACCTATTGGCATATAATAATATAACAACGTTACAAAATGTTGTTATCAATAATATAATAATATTACAAAAATAAAAGCATGTTTTTTTTATGATAATTACAACATCCTGCCACGTCGATGTCTATGTGTAATGATGCACTCATCAACGATACTTAATCCCTAGCTTGCAGAAAAGGGTGATTATCACATGTAGCCTTACTAATTATTATGGGGTTTGGATTATGTCCATTGATTTTTCTATTCCAATAATTTTTAAGTCATAATTAAATGGTTATAAAAATGTTAACTTTTGTTAAAGTTTAGTTATATATATTACAAACGTGACACGTTCACAATAGTTAAATTATAATTTGTTGAAAAAAAATAAAATAAAAAAACTAATAGAGATAATTTCACAAGAAACTTCGCCATAATAGTCCTAATTATTATTATTATTATTATTATTTTGAACCTAGACTATAGCCCAGTTTGTCCACAGGGAGCTTCGCCCTTGACTGAAATCTTCATCGAACCTTCGTCGAAATTTAGATGCGATCGCCGAAAACCTCATCGGCGTTTCACTGGAACTCATCGGACCTTTGTCGAAGTTCCACCAGAAACTCTCTTTCTCACTTAAACTTGCTCTCAAGTCTTGGCACATCTGATATGAGCTCAACTCAAGCTCTTTTATAGTGCTCATTTTCATGGGTGGTTTAAACTTTAAATGTTGCAATTAACCCAGAACTCCAAAGGTCATCAGCGAACTCCTACTTTTCATTAGTTAGGCAACTTGTTAGTTGTATATATAATAGAGGAACAAATATATTTGAAATATTATGAAATCCTTTATAAAAATAAACATATATTTTAAAACACTTTTCAACATGCTTTTGTGAAATAATTTAGTTATTGTTTATTATTTTTATTGAACATATAGAACATAATTAATTAATCATACTTAAAACCTCCTAATAAAATGTCATCATCTTTGCCCTCATAAATTCATAATTGAAACCAGTTCTCAAATGTGACAATTCAAACATTTGCATGCACTGCAACATTAAATTAAAATAAAAAAAACCTTGTTACTAATAAAAAAAAGTTTCACTAAATTTTGTTATTTTTTCTTTTCATTTATTTTAAAAACAAAACTAATTTACATCCCTCGAAATCCATCCAATTACTTATAGTTTTTTTTTTTTTTCCTTCCAAAATTTTATATTAAACACAATTTATCATTTTCCTAAAGGCTAAATTGCATTTCTTTTATAAATTGGGACTTGACCTTGTAGAAACATTCGCGTTTTGATAGCTCTCGGTCGGACCTTATTAGTCCACGTCACAGACTTGTTGAACCTTCAATGGCTGCATGGATCCAAGTGGTGCTTAAGCCCAAAACCCAATTTTGGGGACCCCCCTCTCTCTAGCCCCTTCTCACTCTGCCTGCCATGGCGACTCGCGTTGCGAGAACGATCGCATCGGCCGCATCAACATCAACACCGTTGATTTGGAAATTAACGGCAAGTGAAGCCTCGTCTCTCGTCGTGATCGTGGGCCATGGCAGGCCCAAACCTAGGTGGGCCTCATCATCGTCGTCGTCGTCGTCGTCTTCGTCCTCTACCTCTCCAAAGCCCGACAACAAGAAGATCAACGACCGTCTCTCCACCGTTATAGACGCTGTCAACGACCGTAAACTCCCTCCAGAACTCCGTGGCCAACGCAACGCCGTTAGGTATCCCTCCCCTCTTTGTAGTATTTATTTTTTATGTTTTAATTATTTTCCGATTACTACTCTCTGTTTGGTTACCTAGAAAGCTTCCAGAAAATTGTATAGAAATTCAAGATTACAATAACATTTTTCGTTGCATTCTTTTCCAACTGTTTATGAGCAGCCAAAAATAGATTCTTTATGATGAATGTTAAACTCCCATGGTTTGCTATACGTATACCTCTCACTTCTCATTGTTAGATTACTATTGAATCGCAACTCCTCTATGTAGGTAAAATGTAATATTGAAGGTGCAACAGCAATTTTAAATTAAAAACTCCCGTCTTTAGATGTATACAGACACTGACACACACTTGTATATGATAGCAAACATGACGTTCAACTGAATTAGATGAATTTGTATAGGTGGAAATATGTTGACATTAATAATATCTATATATATATTCATCTAATTAGCCCAACTGCAAGTTGCTTCACTGTGACCTGTTCGAAATGGAAACAACCTTCATAAGCAGGAATTAAGGCTGTATACATCTTACCCTCCCCGGATCCCGCCAATGTAGGAGCCTCGCGCATTGGTCTAGCTCTTTATGTATTCATCTAGTTAGCTCAAAGTCATGTTCTGAAATCTTGGATTGGCATTTGAGCAGGTCAGAAACTGATATTGTCAATGTTGTTGAGCGAAGGATATGGCATTCCATGGAAGAGGGTCAATTTGAGAACTTATCAGGGAAGGGGAAACCCCTAAACCTGAGTAGTAATCCTCATGCAGACCCAGCTGAAGACACATTGTACAGAATTCTGTCGAAGAATGGATGTGCACCAGAGTGGGTTGAACTCAACAAAGAAATACGAAATAGAATTGCTGAATGGAGGTTAGCCCTGAAGAAAGCAGGGGCACATAAAGCCGATGGAAATGATTCTAAATGGATCGAGTGTTCGGAGGCTCTGAAGGTGCAATTGCGTGACATCAATGACAAGGTGTGTTTAGGGGCTCTTATGAATGCTCTAAAAACAAATTTATTTATCTTTTATTGCGTGTCTATTGGATGGTTTGAAGTTTGTTGTATGTGCCACGAGCCTTATCTTTAAGTTATGTTTGTCAACATTTGATGCATCATAAATCATAATATATCTGGCTGTATCAGAAGTGATCCTACTAGAATCATACTACATCAGTACCTTCATTAATATTTACTCTTGCTGTACATTTTTTACTCAAGAATTCTGATCCACCATTTTGCAAATATTCCACATTTTGTCACCATTGTTATACAACCTTTACTTTCATACCTCCCCATATCCAAGTTTTTTTTTTTTTTTTCTCTCCTGGGCTCCCTATAATCCAAGAACAAATTTATATGTTTTGAGGAGTGGATGTGGATCATTGAAGGGAATCTCAAAACATACTCCATCGGTTATAATATGGTTCTTAGTAACCGTTGGAGCATCCGATCAAATTGGCCTACCATTCCAAGCCTTTGTATCTAGCAAGTCCAACATTTCAAAACATTAAACGCATAGTGGAATTATATTAGCTTTAGCTTAAATCGACTTAAGCTTAGGCTCCCAAGTCTCATAACACTTGGGCACACTCGTTTTTACGTAGAATTATTAAATTTGATTAATAGAAGCCATTATCCTTGTTTGAGGTCTTAATAGAACCTTATTTTCTCAATATCTTTTGACAAAATTTTTAACAATCATATATGGTAATTTTCCTTTGATGAAATGACCCACCACCCGATTATTCCACAATATTTCTCTTTTAGCTCATCAAGAAGAAAATAATTTAAAGCAATACCTTTTGTTTTTTCAATTTGGACTTGGTATATAATTGAGTTGAATTTCCTCTTCACTTGTAAGAAAACTGACATGGGGGCATGAGAAATATTTTTTTTCTTTTATTTTCTAGGATAGAAGTATTATTATTATTATTTTTCTTTTCATGTAATGAGTCCAACATAGCACTTTAGCACTAATGTAACGAGAGAAAAAAAAAGAGAAGTGTTTCATATGCAATTATATTAAACTTGAGTTGTGAAATATACTTGGTAGTTGGTTTGTCTGATTAGAAATGTCGAACACTTACTCAGTATTTATACCTAGTGTAGTGCGATTCACATGAGTACTTTAAAGAGTTCATGTAAGATAGGTTCATACATATTGATCTGAACAAATCAAGTAGTGAGATGAATCTAGATAAGCATCACAAATTCATAGTTCCATTGTATGTGTCTTGAGTTAAAGTTGTGATGATGCCAGTTTATTGAGTTCACGTTATGGTACTATTCATTCTAAAGCATAAACTGAATTTGTGTCATGAACTACAATGAATTTGTGTTATGAACTACAGGTATTTAGGTACAACATCATTGTTCCTTTTGGCCGCCAGATGTCTGGACTAAAGTGGGAGAAAGAAGTGGATCGCTTAGAAGAATGAGAGAATTAGAAGAATGTTTGTATAATATATGGATCTCTTAATACTTATCAAAAATATATATATGGATCTCTTAATGAAGAGAATTACTCTAGTTGAAATTTTCTTTCCCGCTCTTGAGCAAGAAAGGAATTGTTATCATATATGTACGTCTTGTATGTCTTTTGTCTACTAGATATTCTCTATTGGAATAGAGCTGCATGCTGCAAACAGTATTTAACAATAACAAATTTGTTGCCCCCCACCCCATTTTTTGCTTGTTGAATGTCTGCCTCTTCAAGTAGACTTACATATATATTTGTAACTTCTATAATTTGGGTTCATGTTCATAAATATTCCAATACTTGAGAGTTGTAATAATTTTGTCTGGTTCTATGATGGATGCTAGAATAATAGCAAGTTAGCAACCTAATATGATTTATATGTGACAGTTTGTGATGTGTAAATTACAAAATATGTTAAAAGACTAAGATACAGATGCACCAACATATAAAAAATTACTGTTCTTGCTCCAACTTCCTCAGCACAAATATGACATCCATTTTCATTTATGCATTTGTGTATATTAATTTCAACAGCAAACAGTTTTTAGGTATACAATCGTATATTCAACCTTATTTTCCCAAATACACCCGGCTACTTCTTCTTATTGGAGGACTATTCCAGTACTCCTTATGCTTCACCATCAGTTGTCTGAAAACATATGGTTGAAGTTAGACATACAATGTTGGAGAATGTTTCCTCTCAGAACTTTGTGTTCGGTTTCATGGAATTGGTGCCTTCAAAGTTAGAATTAGAGAAAATTTAGTTCAAACTGAAAAGATACGTAGCATCTCTCTCTTTTGCGAGGGTTCAAGGTGGAGAAGAAGAACTCCTTTGGAATGGAGATAAATTTTCATTTAAGAGAGGTCGGAAGCAATGCAGAACGAGATACGACAATGTTTTCTGGTCGAGTTTATGTAAGCCTTGGAACGTGGAGTGACAACTTGTTTGGCCATGTTGGATAAACTACCCTCGCTGGTGAAGAAAGGTATAATAATGGTGGCGTCTATTTGTTATAATTGTAGAAATGACGTGGATTCAAGATTACATGTGTTATTTTCTTGGTCTTATTGTCATACTCCACCGCATTGCAGAAGGCGGCTATGCAATGCAAGCAACACGCGAGCACTGACGTCTGCATAGGAATGGAGTTCTGGAATGTTTTGGATTGATGTGAGGATTGTAGAGTATTGGAGGGTGAGTTGGAAGATTCTACCATGTTGAAGAGTTTGTAAAGCTTGAAAATATGTGTATAGTTTAGAAAATATTCTAAAAAGTATAGCCAAGGGAGTTTTGTGGTAAATATTAGGAAAAATTATACTTACATAGAATTAGGATCCTTAAATAATAAATTGATCTATTTTAAAATTTTATTTTTCATTTTGATTGAATTAAGTAAAATAATCACATATGCATCAATAATTATTGTTTAGGTTGAAAATGCTCTCCAAATATTTATTTCAAAATACTAAAAATTATTCCCTTAAAATCAAGTATTTTCTTTAAATAATTTCTTTTATTTAACTTTGAACCATATTGATCCAACTTTCGTATATACAAACGATAACGTAAAAAATGGGGCAATCAAAGGTTAATCCTCAAAAAGAAAAATATAATTAAACTCAAGAACATATAAATAGTCTTGATCATCAATTTTTTGGCTCAATTAATTACACTTGTTTTATAAATAATAATAAATAAATAAAGCATTGATTGTTGGTGTACCATTTACTGAAGCAACCATTTAGTTTTTTCATTATCTCCCTCTCTCGTGGTTGTGTATTGTGTGTGTGTGTGTATTCATAGGAAAGTTTTCACATTTGCAAGTTTATACTAGTATGAATTAGGAGATATGGTTAAAGTTATGTGCAAATAAAATTATATATATATATAGGATGAATTTCCACTTAATTAAAAAAAAAAAAAAACAAATTCTATACATAATGAATTTTGATTAAATTATAAGTATATTTCTAAATTAATATTTGTAGGTTTGAACCGATATGGATTAGGAGATATTGTTAAAAAAATTTGCACAAAATTTATATAATATATATGTGTGTGTGTGTGTTTTATTTTATTTATTTTGGTAATATATACTCCAATACCAAGTTGAAAGTTAATTTAGAAATCTCGTTTTTCTAAATTTTATGAATGAAAGAATGATTTGATTTAGGAAGGATGTTTTGGTATTTTAAAATAAGAGTTCGGATGATATTTTAAACTTAAATAATAGTTTTTAATGCATATGTAATTAATTTACCTAATTCAATCAAATTAAAAAATTAACTTTAATAATAGATTGATTTATTATTTAAGGTTGTAAATCTACTTCAGTTTTTCCTAAATACTATGTAGAGAGTTGAGAGAGTAGACATGAGGCCTATAAATAGGTAAGGTAAGTATTATTTTTCTTCGAACAAGTGGCTTGGGTACATGAGTCGTCCATCTTTACCGTAATGATTATTGGCTGATTCATTGAAGCATTTATATCTTTACAGTAAGTTCTCATAAATGGCACTGACACGGGTGGGAGTTTTTAATAATCTTTGTAGGATCTTCTGGAACTTTCGAACCTGGTACCTTATGGAATGAGTTTCTGATAATCTACATGGGAGTCATAGGACCTATGGAACATGAGTCTGTAATTCTTTCTTTGTAATTATGGTTTATGGTTAATTAATAGAATTTAATGAAATTTCACCCAATTATGAAAATAAATAAATAAATAAAAATCTGAGCATAAATAAATTCTGGGCTAATATTTTTGTTCGAAAACACAATCCAGCATAAACATGTCTAACCTTTAGTTGCACTTTTAAAACTCTTAGAACTATAAAAGACGTTTTTTTTAATTGTCTAATTTTATTTTCGAGTTCCTTAAAAATTGGTTCAAAAAGGAAGACCGGAGGGGAACCAAAAGGAAGGTCTGTTTCCATTCCCCATACTGTTAAAAAAATAAAAATAGGCTTTTTGCACTTTTCCTTTCTTTTTCATTCGATCTTTACGGGAAAGTCTTAGTTTCGATTTGTGGCAAGGTTTCAGACAGAAAGGAAATAAGATTTTTTATCTGAATACCGTCCGGTAACCAATTTTCAGAAATTTCATTTCTGATAATTGTACAGTATTTTCCTATATAGATCTCGTTCTCTTTCCTTACTCGATTGTCATTTGCTCCCAGGTACATTTAACACGCATTTTTTTATTTTTTGGTGAGTTTACACGCTAACGCTGAATTAGTTTCAATTTTCATTTTTGCGAGTCTACACGCTGAATAAGTTTCAGTTTCCATTTGTTGTCCCCCTAGAATGGTCGATATTTGAAGCTCTCTGTTGGCAAGAGAGTCTAATAGCAAGTTGGCAACCTAATATGATATATAATGGAGGAGTAGTCACTTTGTGTGCAAATAATATCCAAAAGTTTATGAGTTAAAGCAAGCTCTAAAGAGAGCGAGAGGATTTTGTGATAGTTCAAACATTCTAGCTCCAACATATAAAAAATTACCGTTCTAGCTCCAACTTCCTCAACACAGATATGACATCCATTTTCATTTATGCATTTATGAGTACAAACAAGTAGGCATATTTCAATTTCAACAGCAAACAGCTTTTAGGTACACACAAGTGACAACTAAATCTTCATCCTTGTATTAAAGCAATCTTACATGCATGAAGAACCTGAACAATCAGCAAAACATAATTGTTCTGTTTGAAAAAAAATTTGCATCCCCACACCATAATAAATACATTACAATGCCAAATTCAGTACATCCAGTATCTTCGTAAATTAGCACCCAAGGGGGCCATAAAGAAAACAAGCCAGCAAGAGGTGCCCAAACGACATGTCTAACCTCTAGTTGCAATACAAATTTCCCAATTTGATAATTTACACACTGGAATAAGTTTCCGTTTCAGTATTCACATGTCCATCCATGATACTTTGCTCAGTTAAGAGATGTCTTGGCTGCAAGATGGGTGAGCGCACGTTTATGGTAAGTGTAGCGGAGCTTCTTGTACTTCTGTACAAATGCACCAAGATCAATTTCTCTATCAAGAAGCTGTCTGTGCAGGGTTTCAGATTCCTCCTCCGTCTCATTCATTGCCTCTGCAAATGACAAACACATCTTTCATATCACATCCTCATCTCTCAATGAACCATTGGCAAACCAAGTGGGCATTATAATTATATTATAATAATTTTAACATCAAGAAATTTTTTTTTTTCCCCCAATTACTGAAGTTAAAATAATCAGTTGTTGCTGCCACTGTTATTGTCATTATCTTTAATGTTGTTCTACCTTGAAGCCTACGGAGGAGAGATGCAGGTGAGTAGAACTTCAAGGTCTCCTCTTTCTGCCTTTCCAGCTCATTTAACTTTTCCTGAGCAGCAGCCAATTCAGTTGTCCGAATGATTCTGCACTGTACAATAGAAAACAAGCAAATGAGAAACTTTCACCATCATTACTCTAATGTCAAGCTTTCTGTAGAGAATATCTAAGACAAGCTAAATGTCTCATCACCTGATTCCTCAGTTCCATGATGCGGGGTTCCTTTTCCAAATTCTCCCCTGCATATAGAGATTATTCAGAACATGTCTCTTTATGTGGTTCAACTGCCCATGTGATGTGAGAAAAAAGAAATATACATAAATATATACATATAATATCATAATAATAACAAGAAGACAATTACTCACTGGTCAGCTGGAGAGTTTCCTTTCGAAGTTCATCTCTTAGCTGATGTTTAGTACATAGAATTGGAAAAAAAAAAAAAAAAAAAAAAAAAAAGAAAAAAAAAAAGAAAAAAAAAAAAAGAAAAAAGAAAGTCAGACACAATTGCAATAAATAACTAAGAAACAAACCATCACATAAAGAATCTATATTTCATGTACAAGACACCACACCTCCACAATGGACTGCTATCTGACACCAGATCATGCAAGTCACATGAGCAAGAACATGATTGTTTAAAAGTAATTTTATAGCAAAACAACCTACGGGCATAGTTTGCTCTGACAATATACTGATGTTGTATGTTAGGGTATTGTTTATATTATAGGACATATTAGCTCTATCAAGAACCGAATGGAAACTGTGACCATGAGCATATCAATCACAAAAAAAGAAAGCAAACAATGGGAAAAAGGGTGTGAAATATGGGGAAGCACAAAAAGCAACAACTGCAACTTACATTTGTTTGTATTTTGACCGGCTCAAGCGAAAGTACGAATTGGTTGTATGCATCCTTATCAGACAAAAGCTTTCTTAACTCATCAACACTAAAAGAATTTAAAACAAAGAAAAGAATGATCAGAAACTAAAAAAATGCAAAACTAAAAGTTTCAATCAGCTTTCTACATTGATGTTTAGAATCCTAAATGCTGAAAATTTGTTCCATAAATGAGATACATTGTACATATAATTTGGAAAAACTTAAGTTTCCTATTCTGCAAGATACAAGGATAAGAAAAATCAATTGAGAGCTTCTGATTTATCAGTTAGTCATTCTAGACAGCACTAACAGAGATAGAGACTGAAGAGTATGATTTGTCATCTGTTATATCCAAAGATCTACTCATCGGTCCCATCCCATGAGTCCGTATCAACAGATTTCATTACAGAGAAATGGCAAAAAGGAAATAAAAAACCACTGCTAGAAGCCTGTGCCTGTATATATTGACAATAGTATACTTCACAAAGACGTTTACCATTTATATTTCAATCTTCTAAAACATAAATGAAAAGAAAAGTTTTAAACAAAACAACATTCATTCCTCACAAACTGAAACACTGGTCAAATGCATTCTTTGGCAAATGGAGGACGATGACTCTTTTTCCAATTCCCACTAAACAGGATAGACAATCTGTTATGTTTAAGATGCTTCTCCCTCCTGATCATTGCTGTGTAGGACAGCTTTCAGCAACACCACTGCTTCACATGTTTCAGTTATGTATAAGTCCACCCTTATTTACTTAACAAATGTGCAGAGGAATTTCCTTTCCAGAATAGAACATAGTATAAAGTTTTATGTTGTTCATAATGCATTGATGCCAATGCGCATATTTTTCACTTAATTAAGGAATAGTATATCTTAGTATGGCCTCAAAAATAACTACGCAAAAATTCTTCCATACAAGCACAAACTAAAATAAATATATATAGCCGCTGTGCATATGATTTGGGAAGTTAATGAGCGCAGTATCTATTTCCAAGTTAGATAGCGAGTTAGGTATCCATACCCACAAAACATAGTAAAAAAACAAGTTTCTCAACTACCACAAGCTGTCAAGTTCAGGTGGTATATTTTGCTCCTTTCTTAAAGGTGTAGGATTTAAGCCGCCATAGAGGGACATGGTGTAAAGCTTTCTCGTTTGGCAATGTGTAAAATAAAAGAAGTGTCAAAGATAATGGCAAATTGCACAATATTCATAACCTCTTAAAATGGCAAAAAAATAATAAATGGGGCACAGTTAATAACCTTCTGAAGATTATCAAATTTCAAAAACCAAAGAATCACGAAGAAAACAGGAATATTAAAACCTTATAAAAGTAACCAGAATTGAAAAGGCAAAGAACAATAAAGCAAGCAGAAAATTTTACCATATGATAATAATAATCATCAGATCACAAGGAACCTTACCTCTTGTCCTTTAGTAGGGCAATGATGCCTGCAGCCTCCGTAGGCGAAACATGTGATGGGGAATGAGGCCGATCTGCAGGCCTTTGTAGATTGAAGCTGCCAGAAGAACTACTACTAGGTGTTGCAGGGCGGGAAGAACTTGGTGAGCTAACAACAGATGGGGGGTACCATGACTGAGTAGGAATCTCCTGAGGTTGTGGCTGAGTTTGTTGCTCCTGAGAACCCCTGTATATAAACATTAAAACTTAGTGCACAATTATATACATGCACTGTTAAAGTTTGAAAATTTGTTCAGTCCACTAGCGTGTATTCTTTATGACAAGTTCTTTATATGACAGCATGCATGTAGTCCTCTGCAAACTAAGAAAAAAAATGACAGTAAATGAAGTATTTTTTTTTCCCGAAAAGTAACAGTAAATGAAGTATTACCCAAAAGCGTTTTAATGTATAAAGATTGAATCTTTGAATGAAAATGAGAGTTTTGAATTAAACTTATCTGCAAAGATTGAATCTTTGAATTAAAATACCTTAATCAAGGTACCTTTTAAGTCACTAGAGCATTTTAATGTATAAAGATTGAATCCTTGAATTAAAATGATAGTTTTGAGTTAAACTTATTTGAGTTCCCTTTGAAGTCGCTAAGTGTGTTTTATGTAAAGATTGAATCTTTGAATGAGAATACCTCAATCAAGGTAACTTTGAAATCACTAGAGCATTTTAATGTATAAAGATTGAATCTTTTAATGAAAATGAGAGTTTTGAGTTAAACTTAATCGACTTCCCTTTGAAGTCACAAAGAGTGTTTTAATGAGTACATATTGAATCTTTGAATGAAAATACCTTAATTAAGGTACCTTTTAAGTCACTACAGCGTTTTAATGTATAAAAATTAAATCTTTGAAAGAAAATGAGAGTTTTGAGTTAAAATTATTCAAGTTCCATTTGAAGTAACAAAGAGTGTTTTAATGTGTAAAATATCATGTTTAAGAACTGATATCGTATGTCAATAGATAGTAGATGCAATTTACAGAGTTTTAAATGATGGAGACCTCACTAATATTACTTAAAATTTAAAGTAGGAAAAAAAAAAATTAATTATAATTATTACTTAAAAATTCAGAACTCAAAATTCAACTTTTAAAATTTTCAATACTTAATTCTCAGTTTTATCAAACACCACCTTAGCTCAAGTAAGACACCAATCAACTATGATTGACAAGTGTATAGATATTTCTATTTCCCTAATCCAGTACAAGGTACACAACATGCAATAATTATGTGTGAATGCATGAATATAGTCAATATACACATGTATTTCAAGCAAGAAAGAGAGAATAAGGGGACTGAGCAGGAGTTTGAGTAAGGATATGGAATTGGAAAATTTGAAGGAAAACAGATATGGTGAATGTTGTTCTGCATTTTGGAGTTTAATGGGTTCTTTTATGGTCGGTTGACGACTTTCTTGCATGTTAACTTCAGGGTTTTGCTAGGACGAAGGCATATGAGGGTTGGCAATTTGTGCCTATTTGTCTCATGCGGAGACTATCAGGGGAAATAAATTGGTGCACATTTTTGCAGATCTGAAAATGCTAGTTTAGGTTAGAGCAATTGATGCTGAATTCCTAATAGTTCTAGATTTTGGGAAAGTTTCCAATTCTTTGAACCCTTTTGTCAATTTCATTGATGATTTAAGTTGTATAGAGAGAGCTTAGTTGTTGATCATGTATTGTCCCAGTGTATGTATTGCACCACCTTTTTGTACTTTGTGGCTATAAGACTTTTTTTTTTTACAAAGAGAAAAAAAAAAAAAAAAAAAAAAAAAGAAGAAGATATATTTAAGGGGAATAAAAAGAGAAAGGAGAAAAAAGTACTTTTTCAATCTTCTTGCTCCATTAAGGGCTGCTATAAGCAACTAACAATGGAAAGGAAAGAAGTATACTTTTCATCTCCCCCCAAAATCATGAATGGCATAATGCCCCAAATGGAATGCTCTTTCATCGCAATCTTCTTGTGTCTGTTATTTATCCTCGTCTTCCATAACATATAGCTTATTGTTCTTTGGACATTGATAAGCCATTTCTCCCCACCCACCATACTTGAAACAAAAAATCTCTCTCTCTCTCTCGATTTATGGGCCACAATACATTTGCTTTCAAAATTAGCCAAATTGAAAGAAGCAGCCTTTGATACATTCAATTGACTAAATAGTTGCACATGTGCGGTCATTGTGGCACATTTGCACCATTAAGCTTTATAATTGTTGTCTCCCCTGTTTGAGACCCAACTTTTCTAGTAATTCAGTATCCTCCTCCATGTGACCATGTCAAACGCCACATTAATGCGACATTCAAATTATATAGTGGTACTGGTTGATGAAGCAATTTTCGAGCTATATCAGCTTTTGAACCAGCCTTGAATCGAATGAGTGTATGGTGTGGGCCTTCCACAATCACCAGCTCTTAAACCCCCCTTGACGAAGCAAGATTCACATTATTTACATGCTTAATTGTTCGTTCATACTTTGTTTAAGTTAGTTTGATTATAAATTTCTATAAAAGTAGTTAATTAGATTTTAAAAAATATTCACCCCCTTCCTAGGTCTAGTTATGGACCTTTGCAAACTATGATTATCAGAGCCTAGGGTAATGGTCTGATTCCTCGGAGTGACTCTTTGGAACTGATGTTCCTAGACATTTCTAGTTTGTTTATGGTTTAGTCTGCTTTTTCCCTTTCAACAAGAAGAAAACAGATCAAGCTGTGAATGAAGAAGCAAAATAAATATATCTAAGTTATATGAGCGACGGCTACATAACGGAGTTGCTAATGGTGGATCCATTAATTAGTAACACCATTCCAATTTAATCAATGTGTCCACTGTTCCAACATGACATTCAGATGGAATAATCACAAAGACGGTGGTGATACCAATTATTTACTATGACAAGTGATTTCTCAAGGCCTCCAACAGCCACATCATGGCCTATTTAAGTGCATCCAATCTGTTAATTTGTTTCGACTGTGAATCAAAAAACAACTTTATCCAGCAATGATAATCACTAATAGTTTTGTTGTGATTTATTCACGTGTGAGTTTTGCTATAACTGGATCCCTTTGACAAATAAGAGTTTGCGTGTTATAATTTTCAAATCATGAGTAAATTAATGTAAAATGCCTTCAATATACGTCCGAATCTTACCAAATCCATTAGGCACTTTACAAAGGTACTCTCACACTATATTAGATGTTTCTAATAGAGGAATTAAACAATTGCCTCTTAAAAGTGGAATAGAGAGGTAGTTTTGGGGTAATTGAGAATACTTTTGGGGGGCAAATTTTCTTTTCAAAGAAAACAATTTGAGCTGAGAGTACCTTTGCATAGTGCAAAATGGTTTCCTATTCCATTAGTTTATTTAGTGATATAATCAATACCATATTACTGCATCCCCAAGAGGAGGTAACCAAATATATACAATCCAGTGAAACAATATGTGTTAGCAGCTAAAATTCCCCCATCAAACATTAGGTGTAATAATAGAAACTTAGTTAGAAATCCAACATATTAAAAATCCACTAACAAGTAATAAAATTTGCCAAAATACAAAAACAAAGCAAATGACAACTTAAGCTTACAGAAGGAAAAACCAATGTACCGAACACATACAATCGAAGAATTACCATTATAAACAATTTATAAAAATATACAGTACTAAAAATATTAGCCCTAAATTGAATTTCAGAAAAGCACAAACAGATACATAATTCAAACTGCAGCATAAAAAACCAAAAAATGATACGGAAAATTCGAGTGCAAATGCATTAACTTAGAAGAGAGAAGATTACCAGAAAGACTTGAACATGACTTGATGAGGTTGTCGATCGTCTGACAATAGAAAGAAAACGAGCGAGTCGAAACCCTAGAAGAGGTCGTTGATGGCTCGAAACGATGAGGAGAGGCGTAAGAGAGGCCGAAGACGACGATCAGAGGTCCCTCTCTACTTTCTCTCCCTGCAGATCACACGTTTGTTCGCCTCTTTAGTTTTGATAAAACGCAACACAATTGTCAAAACGATTACGTATGTGAATAATTATATTTGTTGTTTATTAATTTGATTAATTACACTCATTCCCCAAAACTATAATATAATTACATGCCCCTTTATGTTATCTCAAAAGTCAAAACTACTCTTCAAACCAATTCAAATCATTCAGTATGGTTTGATTATGTACTAATGAATCGATTTTGATTTTAAAAACATATTTTCACTTTTAATTAAAAGACAAAAAGTATATTTATAAAATTAAATTATAAAATATTAGATTTGTCATGTCTTTTTACCCTTAACTTCACTTTCGAATAAATGATACCATAATCATTCATTTAAGGCAATTATATCATACCTCATGGTCAAAAATTCAAAATATTGGTTTATCAATACCGTAGCTTGTAAAATACTGAACAAAAAAAATGCGTGATAAGTAATTGTAGTATAGTGCGATTTTTTCTTTAAAAAAAGATTAAAAATTCAGCATAAAAAAAAAAAATAATAAAAAAATTCACACTTTCATATATATATATGGAATGAGCTGAGTAGCCCAAGTTGCTAGAGGCACTCAGTGAGTAAAAAATTCAAAATTTTAGCCTATTGATATGTTCTTTTAACCCAATTATTAAACAGATCGTTTTCAAGTTGATATGTTTACTACATTAATATGACCCGTCACATAGATTGTCACCTTTAGACTATGTTTTGCTCTCTTTATCCTCATTTTTTGGAATGAAATAATGTTAATTCACTTATTTTGAACTCCTATGAAAAGACAAAGTTGTCGGCTTATATTTCATATAAATTTACATATCTATTTACACTTTCACTTATTTGTTATTTTTTATTTTTATTGTCTTTCACTTATTTCATCGTGTTCTCAAGTTGTGTGTGTGTATATATATATATATATATATATATATATATATATATATATATATATATTTTATTGTTAACCTTAGATTTTTTTTTTTCGTTTCGGAAAGTAACCTTAGAATGTTACTCACACTCTTATTTTATCTCCACAAGACTTGAAACCATAAAAGAGATACCATATTCCTTGGTCACACTTACGGATGGCAATGCGGCAGGATGGAGCCGTGATCTCATTCCCCATCCCCATCCTCGGTCAAATTTTTTACCCCCATCCCCGCCTCCATATCCGTTTATCAACTCCCTCTCCCGTCCCCGCCCCGCCCTGCCCCGCCACATTAGCCCCCGTCCCTGCCCCACCCCGCCCCTCATAACTTTTTAAAAATTCCAATTCACCATCAACAAAATCAACACAACTATAATATTTTTTGACTTAATAATTAATAAAGTTTCAGCACAATTATAACAATTTAAAACATATCATTTCAACCCGATCAAACTTATAACAAAACCACATATAACATTTTTTTGAATAGTCTGGAAATTTTTAACATGATCAATCAAAATAAATAACATTCTTCCAACAACGACTATGCTGCGAGGGAATAGATCTAGGGTTTCAGAAGTGAATATATTACATATATAGTTCTGTCATTTAGTAATATTTTGTAACATGTAAGGGCAGTTTTGTAAAAATGCACTATAAATAGGCGCTGGGAGGGGCGGGGTTACCCTCCCCCGACCCCACCCCATCTTTCACCGGGGTTTCAAATACAATCTCCATCCCCTTCCCATTTACATAAATGGATCCCCAAACTCGCCATAACAGGGGCGGGGTAGGGCGAGGACCTGCCAGGTATGGGATTTTGCCATCCCTAGTCACACTTTTTGTTTATTATAAAAAAAAATCCTTAGAGCATCTCCAACGGTATATTAAAACATTTTTTTACGTAAAATATGCACTGTCACTTATGATGTGTAATTATTATTTTTATCTCCAATATTCTGTTAAGATACACGGTCACGTCATAAATATGTAAAATTATTGTATATTTTACATAATTTTTTTACACAACCACATTATCATATTTTCTTTCTCCTACCTCTTTCTCATTCTATTAACAATCAATCATTTATTAAGTAGGTTTGTAAAAATTATGTGGGGGTCCAGACCTGACAATGGTTGGTTATTATTGGTGAATATATTTTTACACAAAAAATATAAAACAATCGTTGAAATTAAAAATAAATAATTAAAAATTTATATATAAATTTATTATGACATATTATATTTATTACGAAAATATATACGGAGATGTTTTTATAAATTAGAACAAGTATTTGAGGAGGATGTTCACACCATGGGCTCTTGCCATGCCGGATGTGGGTCCAACGTTTATAGAATGCATAGACGACTGTGGGTGTACCTTCATCATGATTTTAAGGTCAATCTTGTATTTTTATCCTTTTTCCTTTTATTAAGGGTAAAATAGTCAGTCGAACACACCCACAATTGCTTATAAAAAAATTGAAATATCTCGTATCCTCGTTCAAAAGAATGCATAAATTATATTGATCTTCTTTAAAACTTGGACAAAATATACATAAATAAACTGTTCAACATTTATTATTTTAACTTTATCTGAGATTTGGTCCATATGCTTTGCAACACTTCTAATGTTTTATTTCCAACAAATCTGTTAACCAAATTTTATAAAAAAAAATAATAATTTTGGCATTCACTTGTATAAACATAATATAATATATTATTATGACATAAAAATTTTACTTCATTTTCACACTCAAACTCACTTTTAGATTGCGGCGAACAAGTTTAGAGGAGATCAAAATAATAAACGATGAATAATTTATTTGTGTATAATTTGTTCAAATTTCAAAGGAAATCTGTGTAATTTATCCAAAATCAAAGCTACTACTTAAACAATGTTGCTTCATAGAATACATGGACCACGGTGAGAGTACCTCCATCATATTGGGATTTTAAGGTCCAATCTTGTATTTTTATCTTTTTATTAAAGGTAAAACAGTACACACCCACCACAATTGCTTATTATAAAATTGGAATATCTCACTTCTTCTTTTAAAAAGTGCACAAATTATATTGGCTTTTCTTAAAATTTGGACAAAATATATACAAATAGACCATTCAAATATTTAATACTTTGAGTTCCTATGAGATTTGACGCGTATGTTTAACGACATTTCTAAAGTTTTTTTTTCCACGAATCTATTGTGATTAGTTGCCCAAATTTTTGTGAAAAAAAAAAAAAAAAAACCAATTTTGGCATTCCCTTGTACATACGTAATATAATATATTTCACTCTCATGCTCACTTTTCAGCCGTCACATAAATAAGTTCAGAAGAACAGTCTATTTGTATGTAATTTATTTAAATTTTAAGAAAAGTCAATGCAATTTACCCAAAAGTAAAGGTTATGTTTTTTGTGAGGCACATCCCATGGAATCATCATATTTAGGATCAAATTATAAATAAAAATTAAGTTTATGATGATTAATTCGTCAAGCAAACATGCAACTCTAGGGATTACAACTAAAGAAAGTGTATAATGATGCACGTTCCATGTTGAGTGGTGGACAACCTCTCGCACCTTATTTATCACATAATTTACATAAAAGCACCTCACTTGGGGACATCTGTAGTAACCATTATACTACTATAATATCCCATCAACCACTAATTTCTGTCTTAGTTTCAACTCTATTTCTGTCAATTGGCTTGACGGATCCAGAAAATTGTAGAGGTGCAAAAATAAATTTAGTGTATTTTTTTTTATAATTATTTATTTATTTTAGGGAAATAAAGTGAAAATTTTATAAAATTTAGTGGTAAAAAAAAAAAAAAATCAATGTTCCTCCGTCACTGTCTTCACGCACCAAGTATTGGTAACACAACATCGATTGAATTTATAGGCTGTGTTCGGCTCTATGAAATTAGAGCTTTTGAATTAGAATTTGTGGCATTAGAGAAAAACATCCCACAAAACTGAACTAAAAATTTCTTCAATTTCAATTTTAATTTCAAAACTCCAATGCTATGTAACTGAATACAATCGAAAAAATCTATTGAAATTCAATCTAATTGCAATTGTTTATGTTCTGATGCATATAATTGAAATTGAAAGAATTAAAGAAATTTTTGATGCAACTTTGAATTAAACTTTTCTCTAATTCTACCAATTTCAAATCCAAGACTCTAATTTTATACAGGCGAACATAAGTAATATTCCGTAAAAATTAAACCAAACTAATTTAGAAAATTAATAGTAATCCAACTTAGAGTTAGCAAATTGGGCCTACCTTGAGCCTAACTCAAATTTATATATGTGTATATATATCAATAATATCATGCATAGTTCACGAGATTTTATTTATCTTATTGCTAGAATTATATTATTACAAAGAAGTTTTTGAGTACTTCATAAGTTTGAAGTAATATTGTCTTTGAATTGCTTTTTACCATCAACACAACCGATTCAATCTAAACTCACCTGACCTCGAGTTGAAATTCGGGTGAAATTGATTTTAGTTAAAAACAACAATAGTGATAGTAATGGTATTTCTACATGAGCCAAAACAGTACATGAAAAGTAACATGATAAATCCTCAGGCGATATATATATCATTTGAATTTCTCTAATGTAGCGAAGATTTTTCATATACGCAATGGGAAAGTACATATAATGGCCTTTTCACTAAAACACGTTACTTCATGTATTATCAAAGCAATCATAACATGATATCAAGCAAAATACATATCTTAATCACAAAACCCCTAATTGTGTTATTCCAGAATCTTTGTGGGTGTGAAGCTATGGATTGATTTCACATTTGTTTCAAGTCAACCATCAAGACTTGCTTTTTTTTTCTTTTCTTTTTTTTTTTTCCTTTCCTTTCCTTCTATCACGGAAAAATGATGCTTTCTTGAAATAATACTTGAACAAACAATAATTTAGGTCCTCTTTGTCCTTATTTCTTGGACTTTTTCTTTTTTCACATTGTTACTCTACAACTTGTCTAAAAGCAATATTTCTTTTTGAATGTTTATATTCCAACGAAAGTTTATGAAATATAGTTAGAATTGCTCGGTGCTTTGTTTGTGCAGGGTAGCTTCGCTTTATGGATTCTCGTACCCCAATCGCATCTAGGCTGGTATGCGTTGCTTTTGGTAAAAATGAAAGAAAGAAAAAACATTCATTCGTTTGTTAAAGAAGAGGCAACGAAGGAAGAGAAAAGAGAATGAATTAGTCATCATTCTTCATTCACAATTATTCATTACTTCAAATATGGACAGAAACTTAGAAAATGAAGATAAGGCTATAAAAAAAGTTTTAAATTTAAAACTTTTTTTTATAATTAAGAGTTGATCTTCCCTTCTTTCTTATCAGAGAGAATAAGAGGAGCAGACTCATTTTTTATTTTTATTTTTTAAGGTATGTCCCATTAATCTATTCTTCACTTTATTACATCTTATGAAAGAAAGCATTAGCGTAAGAAAAGCAATGGCTCTACATTTGATAGTCATTAGTTTTTCTCTCTTTCATATTGCTTTTGATGGTATATTGAAGAACCATAAAAACAATGAAAGAACCACAATTATTTTCATTGACCCAAATCTGAGCCAGGTAACAATAATAGAAAGTTGATTTGCCCCATTACAAAATATTAAGAAAACAAAAAAATGTTGGTTCTTTATGTAAAGGCCCATGTGGTCTAGTGGGCCCAAGAAAACTACAAACTCCAACCCCCTAAAGACCTTGCCTTTAATTTCTTAGCTGCATGTACAACTTTACAAACTATCAACAGCAACACAACACTGCATTATTGCTTCTTCACAAAGAATTTGTTTCAACTTCTTTCCACCCAAAAGGGAAACATACCCTTTTGTTTATAGGACACCCCGTCCCTTCCTCCCCAATACAATATGTTTTGGGACAGTGACCCCCCCCAAAAGAAGGGTATGTAAACCAAATAATAATGAGTTGTATAAAGTGATTTTAAAGGTATATATATATACACTCAATTAATTAGGACCCAAAGGGTGCCCTTTGTGGAATGCCTTTTCTTCTCCTTGAATTAGAACGAGATGGTGGTGGCGTGGAAGGGTACATGTCTTGTTGTGAACCTTGAAGCAATTCTTCTGATTCTTCTTCTTCTTCTCTTGATGACATCACTCTTCTTGATACCCCTTCATTTCTTCCCATTCCTAACTCATTCTTGGCCTCTAACACAAAGTTTGCAACCCCATTTCTCTTTATTCCTACGAGCTAAGTAATTTAAAAATAAAAAATAAAAAAAATAAAATTAACAATTTAAGCAAAAACTTATGATGATGATAGCGATATATGGTTATAATAATGATGGCCAACATTAATTAATTGGTAGGTTATGTGATGAAAGTCATGGTGATAGTTTATATATATACATGATTGGTTGTGGTGGATGATGTTGATTGTGGTGGGTAGAAATGATATGACAACAACATTGATGGTTTGTACACGAATGTGGGTTATGATCAGGGATCTAGAAATTTATGTGGGAGGTAAATTTATATAGATGGTATTTTTTTTTATAATTTTAGTAAGGATAATTTTAAAATTTTATAAGTATAAATACAAAAAGGTATAAATTTAAAGATGTAAAATGCAGTAACACAAAAAATTTTAGTAGAAATTTTTTTCAATAGAGGCGGATGAATGTATATAAATGTACATATAATGTTCATTATCATTATAGTCAAGGGGTGCCATGGGAAGCACAGGATGGATCCTTTGCAGCTACAGCAGAGCTATTGTAATAGTTCACACGTGTAAAGAATGACAAGCATTTGCAACACTGCATTGGATTCAGACTATTCAGACTCATAATTTTAACCTCTTGTGCATTCGCCAGAAAAAAAATTATTATTCAATTTGAATTCGCAACCCAAAACATTTGTCAGTGCACGAGCAAAAGCAGGTCTCTATGCATATATATATATATATATAATTTGTGACCATTATGATTATTTGTGATGAATGTGAAGCTAGATATGAATTAAGAAGGGAAATGCAGTTATTAAAAAAAAAAGAAAAAAGAAAAAAAGAAAAGGGGGAAATGCACTTACTTTACACCCTAAAGAACAGAAAAGAAAAGGGTCCAAGAGGCTCCTCCCACAGATTTGACAAATGTGAGGAACTCCCCCTTTCCCAGATTTAGGCTGAGGCCTCTCATTCAGAAACATCACTCTCGCACTGTTTATCACATACGTCTGGACTCCACTTATGTCCAAGACCTTTTGGATCTCTGAAACCCTCACTACATCATGATATGAAGATCTCCTTATCTGCACAAACACACACACACACCCACACTAAATTTGAGTAAAATGCACATCAAATCAATACACATATACACTCATTGTACCAAAACACAATAATGATATAGACAGACATACCCACCTGGATGACTTGATGATCCTTGTGTTTGGATGATCGGCAATAGAAGCAAAATGGGTCGCCATTGCAATCTAAGCAATACATATTGCATTCACTCCTCGCTGAATCTCTGTGTGTTCGGCACAGAGAGAAGAAATCTGTGCTTAACAATGGTTCTAGCCATGGAGGAACAAACATATTGTCCTGTTACAAACCCAGAAATGTTTACCACAGATTAGGAGAATATAATGATGATTTAGAGAGAGAAAGTATATATACACATTTATATATATATTTATGTGTATTGAAATAAACGACATCACCATTTATGAGAGTTGAATTTGATAGAATGGGTATTGAAAGCAATGTGAATATTTGTTAGACAACTGTTGGATTCTCTCAATGATAATGGAGAATTTGCATAGAGAATTACAGATGAAAATGTTGTGTAGAGAGAGAGAGAGAGAGAGAGACAGGGGGGCTAAGCAACTTAGAATTCAACACCACCCCTAGGTACTAGAAGACAAGTCTTAATTCTTACCCAATCAACGGCTCAGCTTTAGCCTGGTGGCTGAGGTTTAATCTGATCCGTCGATCATGAGACGGAGGCCTAGGCTCTCTCTCTCTAAATACATTTGCCAACGTGGCAAGATCGGACAGTCCAAACAGAATGGATCCATTACATCATTCTTAATGCTGATGACCCTATTTGAAGTAGAAAGATGAAAGTTGCTTTGATTACCAGATATACCCTTGAAGTTTCAAAAATATTACAATAATCTGCTGACGTCGTACAGTGGTCACGAGATAGCTCTATAATCCATAATTTTAGGCCGCATGTCATGTCGGAAGAGAGTTAATTTTTAATTACTCATATATTTAATTGAGTTTACATAAATTAATAATTAATAAGGTACGTGTGTTTGTGTGTGTACTGTGTAGAGCTGCCGGCATTGTGGGTTACACACTGCAACAGGAGGTAATACTATATCTGCGGCATGTACATCTTTCAACATATTATTCATCATGACTGTCGATTGTTTGTTGTTTTTTGACCTCTTGGATAAAAAAGAAATCCAACTAAAGATATAATCAAATCAAGGGGGGGTTGTTCCTACTACTGTAAAGTTGTATTAATAGTTAGATTGATTAGTTGTAAAAGCTAATTAAATCACAAAGATTTTTTATTTTTATTTTTATTTTTATTTTTACTTTTATTTTTATTTTTACTTTTATCAGAAAAGCTAGGTGACATTCTGTCTTAATCTTTTGACATGTCAAACAAATTAAAGTATGAAAGGAAATTATCACCACTTTCATCTTTATGTTAGGAAAGTACATTTTAAATTTAGCAATTAGGGAATAAAATAAATGTTAGACTTTAAATGTGTTCCTACCTTCCAACATATTAATGATATAATTTTGAACAACACTTATCGGTGAGTAACTTATTTTTACTAATTAGTAACATTGTCCGATCATAAATCTATACATATACTTTGTAATGAACAAGATTTATATGTGAGTAAATCATTCCTATTGATCGCAAAAACACAAATAGTCACAAATACACAAATAGTCACTAATTATAAAAGCACAAAGTGATAAATAAGGACACAAAAAAAGTTATTTATCTCTCTATTGATAGTTTTTTTTTTTTTAAAATTTTTTTTTTTTATCATACTGTATCCAATCACAAATGCACATATAATTTGCAATTAAAAAATTAGGAAAGTGATAAATAAGGAAAATAAAGAGAATGACTTGAATTTATTAAAAAATATAATTATTGTCCTTATTTATCACTTTTTTATTTTGTAATTTCGGATTATTTGTGCATTTGTAATTGGACTGTACTGAGCTGATGTGATATAATCACAAATGATATAAATAATCAGTGATTACAAAACAAGAAAAGTGATAAATAAGGATACTAACTTTTTTTTTTTTGGAATAAATTCAGTCACCCTCTCTGATTTTCTTATGAAAAATAATTCTTGTACTGAATAATTGCAGTGAATTGCTAGATCTATTATTTTAATTGGTCAATTATGCAACAAATAAGAAAGTGGAGCCATCTACTTAGTTGTATTTTTTTATTGAATTACGCATTATTTGTGATTGAACCACGTTAACCGTCAATATGGGTGCGAAAAATAATTGTTGCATAAACGATGTAATAAGCTGGTATGAAATAACACAAAAGACAATTAGATTTGATGGGACAACAACCAAATAAGAACATTCAAAATTTAATCATCCTAGCAACACTAGAATCAGAATTCAAATAACTTTTTTACTCTATTGCTGCTCTAATAAGAAAAAGCTTTGCACTTGAAACGGTTCATGAACTTTTTAGAATTTAACTTTTAATCTTATTAACCCACAAGAACAAACCAAAACTAAATAAATTGAGAGTTAAATTGATTTATAAACAATTCAGCTTATTTGAATCAGCTTAAATTAATTACACTTTTGATTGGCCATGGTTTTCCCTAGGATTTCCACCAATCCGTTATAAATTCTGTAATTATAAATTTTCTTTAAGCAAGGTTTAGGTTTAGCTTTAGCTTGAAATGAACCCATCTATTGATATATTTCATTTTTAGAGAAGAGTGTTAAATTGGTGAAGCCGAACAAGCCTTGGAGAAGATATTTCCCATCTAGTTATGGCAATCAGCCCTATACCTACTGGGCCAAAAGGACTGGTCCATGAAATTACAGGTTGCTTTCCATGGCCCAATCAAATTTGGGACAGCCTGTGGCTTACTGTTTGAAGCCTAGGATTTGGATTTCTCCAGTAATTTTACTACTGAGTATTCAAGTATCTCCAAGGATTTATTTGTTTATTATTATTATTTTTTGTTTTTTCATTTCATTACAAGCAAAACAAGACGCTACAAATTTCGAAGCTTTAAGTACAAATTTAAAGGTATAATATGTAATAATAAAAAAATTCAGTGGCCGCATCGCAGATATCCTCCACTGAGTCCACAGTAAATCCATCCCTGATCTCAGCTGTCAAGACATGTTAAGAGTTTCAAAAATCCATCTTTAAATAGTTTCACGACCATATATCATGAGCATCGGAGCAATTCCACGACATATGATCCCCTCCCTATTTCCTTCTCAAGATCACGGCCTATGCAATAATCTAGATCAACAATACTTATTCTTGATCTCTAAATTAAACTTTACTAGAATTTTTTCATGAAGGGATTGCAAAGGAAAATTTGAATTTTTCTTGGAACATTGAGCTTCCAAACATCCTTCCAGATTTGTTTAATGTCTTGAACATACCAGTAGCTGTCTTTGGGAATGAGATTATTGTGCCCTTTCATAACATCCAATGCTAAAAAATATACTCTCTTTAACTGTGAAATTTCATTTCTCTGTAGGCCCCCAAATTTTCTTGTCGTGAGGAGTTTGCAGAATAAGCTTTCTCTTCCTTTGTATTCAACACAGTTTATAACTTCCACCTTCCGTTATTTTCTTCTTTGATCAATCAGCTCTCAAACTTTAACAAATGAGTGGCCATTAATTAGCTGCTTTGTACTTGAAATCTTATTCTAACCAAGTCTGTCATTTGTCTAGCTAACTAATCACCGCGTTATGGTTTCTAACGGGGTAGAGCCAGAAATTTTGATTTTGATTGAGGGTACTAAGTAATAAAATTTTGAATTTTTTTTTAAATTAATTGTAATATACTTTTTTATAATATTAATTTTTAGTATATATTGAGGACTTTAAAATACAAAAAATGAGAAAAGTGCAACCTAAATAAATATAGATGAGAGTTTCCAAACAACTCAATTCAATCGGGTAAAAGGTAATTTCTTTGTTGATCAGATTCAAATGATAAAAAGAAAAAAATGACAATATAAAAACTTAAGTATTATTAATTCCCATAAGCGTTGGTTCTAATTTATATCTGTATTAGTACTTTTGACATCAATTTATATCGTTGTAATTTGTTTTATTCCTTCTACAGATTCTGACCTCATAAGTTATACCTACTTGTACCTACTACAACCTAATCAAAACTTTTCTCAAGGCCAAGGCATGACTGAATTTGAACTTAAAATTCTGCTATTAGATCGGTAATAGTCCTAAATTTATATTAACATCAACATAATAGTTGTTAGTAGCTTACATTCTTTTTGTCTCGATGTAAATTTCTTTCATCAATATACATACACCCTTACTTACCAAAAAATATTGAGTACCTTCATTGCACCATTCTAGAAAATTTGTAAAAAAAAATTTTGAGATGTTATTCAATGTCTTGTTACATTTGGGTTAGATTTTTCTAGACGATTGACATGGAAAAAACATGTGTACAATATATCTAGTATTTAGAACATGTGAAAATAATAAACAATTATAGAATTATTTTTTTGGATTTGAGAATAGAAAAATCTAGTAGAGACAGTAAGAAGGTGGACGTGAGCTTTAAATACTAACTCCTTAGTTGTCCATTAAGTGCTTCTTACTTAGTGTTGTTTACAATATAGACCACACCAGTACCATTCCATCCCAACTCCAACCCTTTAAAAAAAAATTATTTATCTTTGTAAAAAAGTTAAAATGATTCGAAACATATTCATAAAAAAATACTGATTTTCTAGGTAATTGAACTAATATGTATAATGTATATGTAGATTCGTATTTATTGTGGTATTGAGTACCAGGAATTTTAATGGTTGTTTCTAATTTATAAATGAAACAAAAAAATAATTAATATAAATTAAAAACAAAAAAATAATTAACCTAAAGAAATATGTGGGTTTTCATTCATGTTCATTACTCTTTTTTGTGATTTTGTAAAATTAACAAATTTAAGGAATGATTCAATCATATAATTATATGTATCAAAATGTAAATAAATTAACTGAATTTGGTGATATATAGTACTTTATCAGTTCTTTAAAAGCATCATAATCAACTTATTAATCATATTTAATAAGCATGAATCAAAAACTGAAAAACATCTCAATAAGGAAGAAGAATTTCAGTGGTAGCGCTTCCCTGTCCCATCGTCAAACGCGAAAAGGACCTCAGCAACTTTGATGACACTCGATCCAAATGCCTAATAGATCGTGCCCGAGACAATCTATCCCTCAAGATATCAGCTTTTGTAGAAGAACATTCACTTCCACTCTCTCTTTGTATGTCAATGGCAACATGATCTGATTGATCCATAGACAATGATCGCTTTAACCCGGTGACCAAATTTCTTGATCTCTTCTCTGTTGGCAGTGCCATCGACGCACAATGGCGAAGCAAACCACAAGTTTGTGGTCCTTGGGGATGATTGCCCCCGATATGGGCTCGTTGATCGTGATCTTGTGGTGGAAGCTCAACGCTATCTGTTTGATCAACATGCGCATGCAATGGCGGCACTTGAGTGATTGGTGCAACTATGGGTGACCGACAAACCGGGCAACTATCACGTGCCATGAACCATTGATCAATGCATGGGACATGAAATGAGTGCTTGCAATTAGGTAACAAACGCACTATGTCCTCATCCTCCAACTCCCCTAAGCAAACCACACATTCGGTCTGGTCCACCCTAAATAGATAACCCTTCTTGGTGGAGTAAGCAAGAATTGGGATTGTTTCAAGGATTTTGGGTTCCACACCGGTCGGAGGTCGGGGATCAGGGACCAGTTGTGACGACTCACTGGAATTTTCTTGCCGTCTCAGGCAATATTTAACCAATACGAGGTGGTAGACTATTATGGCCATGGATGTGGCGACTATGCCAAGCATGGAAATGAGTAGGGGAGTGAGAAAGCTGCTTGTGGCAACGGGTGGTGGTGAGTTGATTGCCTCCATATCTCATCATCAATTGAAACCAAACCTTTTGGATTAATAATTGGAGCTATTTGTGATCTTTGATTTTGTTGTAGAGAAAGAGATGGCTTTGTTGAAGTATATGAAGTTCCTTTTCTGGGCTATGTTTACATAAACAAGAATGGAATGAGGGATTCATTATATATACTTGTCTCTTTCTCATTTATTTTTTCTTTAATTAATTGGTCCATCAAGTTTACATAATTTCTATACAAGATGCTTATAAATACTAGAAATTATGTCCACAGCACCCATTGATTCAAAAGAGGAGGGGGGGTTGAAATGAAATGATTGAAGAAGTTAAAACTTGGAGAAATAGAATAAAACAAGAATAGATGGGCATGACTGCAAAAGCAGAAGTGTTGTAGGGATGATCCAAAGAAAGTTTGGGGATTGATTCAAAGATGTGTACACGTGGCAATTTTGCATGGGAGGCAGGCATGAGGTGGAGATTTAAACAAGTGTAAGCGGGATGATGGTGTGGTGTCTAATTTTGAGGACGCTTGGACAGCTGAGGTGCCCTTTGGCTTGGGGCAGAGCAGAGAGGTAGTTGAGAGTTTGGTGTATAGAAATCATCTGATGAAGCAAGAATTTGACTTGGTACAATCGATCCTCTTGTCATCTTCATTTTCTTGTTGATTGTCGGTCAGATTCCGACGGCATGAAAAATATTACATTATTGGGATGTGATCGATTTTTTTGACTTTCAATTGCGATAATGAGCTTGCCACATTGTATTTTAAAAATCATACTCTTTACTATATGAGGTATTATAAAATCTTTATAATGTGGGGGGCGTGGCAAAATTTCAGTGCAAATGGATCATATCAGATTCTGTTGACCGTATATTCTGTACACGTATCAATTTGTATAAGTGCTAATAAATATGTACCATGTTAACACTACCTGCCATTTTCAGTATCATTTAAGCCTTTTAAGGAGTATTATACCAATTAAATTTCAGTATTATTTGTATAAGGGCTAATAAAATTTCAGTGCGAAGTGTTTTATGCGCTCTCAAAATATAAAAGTCAAATGAAAAAAAAATAATTGTAAAAATAAACTTACAAATATAACAATGGAAATATTAATTAATAATATTTTAATAAAATACAATCACAAATGTTATCGATAAGAAGTAAAAAAAATGAAACAATACATAATTATACCTAAGTTAAAAAAGATATTTTTTGAAAAAGGAAATAAAATTTAAAAAAGAAAAATATATGGTGTACTCTAATAATGGACTATATGTAACATTTTTTTTTTTTCAAAAGGAAATTAGACGAATTTGAAAATTTTATAGGAAATATTATTTAAAATTATCATATAAGTATATACGCGCACACACACATAGTAAAAAAATATCAAGGGGTGTGGCTACTGCTAGACTAGTAATGGAGGAACAAAAGAATAAATAGTTATGATAAAAAAGAAGAAGAAGATGGAAATGAGTGCGTTTAATTTATACGAGTAGAGAGTATAAATAAAAAAATTCACTTGTTTGAAAGGGAACACATTTTTTTTAGCAAATAAATTACACATCCATTGTATCCTTTTGAAGATTTGAATTACTTGGTGAGAAAATACCACCTAACCTAAAAAGATCGGGGACTATAAAATTTAACAGTCATTTCCTCTCTTCTTGTTTTTGGACCAAAAACTAGGTATCATTCTGTGTCGTTTCCTTTTTCTTTGTTACTAACTCCTCCAACCCAAAACTTACCCAAAAAAAGAAAACAAAAAAAAAAAGAAAAAAAAAAAGAAAAAAGATCTTTACAATCCAAGTTGCTAGAATGGTTTGGCACTCCGTGGGCCTTGTTTTATATATGTGTGAAAATTACTCCTAAGCTGGACAGCATGACTGGCACTTGCCCAACATAAAAAAAAAAAAAACGAGGCTTACATTTAGAAGCTGACCCATGTTGGAACAACTCAAAAACTTTGCTCTCTAGTGAGAAGTTCAGATAAAGCTCAAATTTGGGCCCAACCCATGACAACCGTCAAACTTTGCAGTTTATATATACCAACAAAAAGTAACTCTCTTTTCTCACACTCACTTTCTGTTTTTTTTTTTTTTTAATGCCAACATCAAATTCGCAGTATGTTACGCAGTTGAATATTCAACTGAATCGTTCTTGAAAAAGACCGCATGATGTGGAAGCCAACCACTCCCATGATTAATCTATTTTTTATAGCAAGCAAAGTCAATAATGATCCAATAATTTATCGGATCTCATTAATTAAATTATACACAATGAAGAATTGGAGAGGGGGAGAGAAATAATTGCTTCATGATCTGTCATATATCTCAAGATCCAATGCCACGACTAGTCACCACCCCACCACACCTCATTGGTCATTGGACTTTGGATGAATCGAAGTCCTCTCTGGCACATAATTCACACAACGAGGTGACAAGTAACAGCAAATCCACCACTCACCATCTATCCCTAAAGGCCTAAACAACAGATACCATAGATTCCATATCCATCTGAATCTTTATTGTGTAGTATCATCACCACCACCACCATGCTGTCCAAATGTTTCAGCCTCCATCTCCATCCCCACCACCATTCCCTCTCCTCTTCATTCCATCCCAACCCAAAACCCAAACAACCCCTCACAATTCCTCTCATTCCTAATAAATTGACTACAAAATTAACCACCACTCATCACCGTGCTCACATTTTTTCCCCTAGAAGATGCCACTCTTTTTCACCCATGGCATCAAACCAATCCAAATTTAGTCCCCAATTCGATGAATTTGAGCCGGATCCAACCCTCACCAATGATGATCTCAAGCCGACGACACCCGGTGAACGGACTTTTTCCGGGTGGGAAATGGCTTGTTTGTGGGTGGGACTAGTTGTGGGTGTTCCAACATACTACCTTGCAGGTAGCCTAGTTGACCTTGGCATGGCATGGTGGCAAGGAATTGCCACAGTTGTTGTGGCCAACATAATCCTATTGGTTCCATTAGTCCTCACCGGTCACCCTGGCACGCGCTATGGCATCTCTTTCCCAGTCCTGGCTCGATCTTCTTTTGGAATTCGCGGCGCCCATATCCCAACTCTGCTTAGAGCACTTGTTGGCTGTGGGTGGTATGGGATTGAAACATGGATTGGGGGTGAGGCAATTTTCCTTCTTTTGCCTAAAGTTGTCAAACAATCATCTTTGTCCCAAATCATTCCTTGGCTTGGCACTTCCCCTCTTGAATTCACTTGTTTCATTGCCTTTTGGCTAGCCCAATTGACCGTTGTGTGGAAGGGAATGGATGGTATAAGAGTGCTTGAAAAGTACTCTGCCCCAATTCTCATTGTACTAGTCTCTTGTCTCCTCATTTGGGCTTATGTCAATGCTGGTGGCTTTAGTTACATGCTCTCCTTGTCTTCTAGGCTATCCAATTCAGAATTTTGGGCACTTTTCTTCCCTTCACTCACAGCAAATATAAGTTTTTGGGCCACTCTTGCACTTAACATTCCTGATTTCACTCGCCACGCCAAGAGCCAAAATGATCAAATCATGGGTCAAGCAGGGCTTCCAATCTTCATGGGTGCATTTACATTTGTTGGCCTAGCTGTAACCTCATCCACCAAAGTAATCTTCGGACGTGTCATCTCAAATCCGATCCAACTTCTTGGCGAAATTGGTGGTTTCACAACAATGATCCTAGCCATTTTTGGGATCAGCCTAGCCACCATCACAACCAACATTGCAGCCAATGTGGTAGCCCCTGCCAATGCCCTTGTCAATCTAAGCCCTTCCAAGTTCACCTTCAGAAGAGGCGCGCTTTTGACAGCATTGCTTGGTATAGCTTGCCAACCTTGGAGGCTTCTTCAGTCAAGTGAGAGCTTTGTCTACACATGGCTTGTTGGCTACTCTGCATTGTTGGGCCCAATTGGGGGCATTCTTCTTGCAGATTACTATCTCATTAAGGGCACCGATTTAAGTATCAAAGATTTGTACACGTCGAGTCCTAATGGGGCTTATTATTATTCAGGAGGCTACAATTTGGCAGCGATGATCGCTTTAGTTTTTGGGATTCTGCCTGTGATTCCTGGTTTCTTGGAAAAGGTTGGGATTCTGAGTTCAATACCGGCTTCGTTTCTCGTCATTTACAACAATGCTTGGTTCTTTAGCTTCTTCTCTGCTGGGATTCTGTACTGGATTCTTTCATGTTTGAAAGGAAAACAGAATAGCTCTCAACTTACAGACCCTCTCTTGCCCAATACATCTTAAATGTTTTTACTTTCTCTTCTTCATGTGTTTTTTCCCCATTAGAACACAATGGACTTGTATACATTGTATAATGTATAACAATTAATATAAATTTTCCAGGTTTGAATATTGTTATGAATAATTGGTAAGGTTCAAAATTATCCAATGGATTTAATGATCAGGCTTTGTATTGCTATCCAATCTTATTGTTGATTACTTTTGATGAAAATGATCCATTGTGTTTATTAGAACCTTGAGAAACATTAGCCATTATATATATAATTACAGGTTGCATAGGGGAAATTTGAATGAATGATTGATGCTACTTCTGGGTAAGGCTTCGTCACTACAAAACTGATGTTAATAGGTTATGTTATTGAAATATATGTTGCACAAACAGAGGAGGTTACACTATGTCGGAACTTTTATTGCTTATCATCACTATGCAGAAAAAAGAACTCTTTTTATCCAGCATTAAGTTTCAATTATTTTTAATTTTTTTCTCTTAGTAGATTAAACATGGATATAATCATACAAATTATAATCTTCCAAACGAATATAACTTAAAAGCGCCTCAAATATTTGACAATGCTCTAAAAGCTCTTAAAATTGAGAAAATAATCTTATAATATATATATATTAAAAAAAAAAAATTCAAACTATTTTTCATTGGATGGTTGCTTGGGTGAGATATATATATATTTTTTGCAAGTTTGGGTGAGATATGGGTCAGTCTCAATAATGATATGAAGAGACTCATGTCCCAAGCAAAGTTATTCAAGCCCATCTGATAAGCCCACAAGTTGGCAGCAATAACCATATCAAGCATTGATCATCAATTAAGTGCATATTGGTTCTATTTTTATTTTATTATTATTATTTTTTTTCTATGGGGAACAACCTAATTACTCTGATAATACGATACTTGTCAGAAAAAAAGAAAAAAGAAAAAAAGGTTATAATTCAAGACATAAATCACCCAAAATGAAAAGTCTAGTCATTGTTTTTATGCATTTGACATCTACAGAGTCAAAACGAGAATAGCGGGAAAAAAAATCATGAGTTATATTTTGTTTTGCGATTTTTCAGTCATTGAGAAAATGAACTGTTGCTAGCTGCTAGATTTTTATTTAATTATATATATATATTTTTATCGATAATAATAATGTCAGACCTCTTAAAAAATTTTATAATTCACTATAAAACACGTGTAATCTTTCCATTCCACCGAATTTTTTTTTCTGAAATGGGTCATACATGAAATAGATAAGTAATAATGGAAACAGTAATCATTGAGGGATCATATCGAATATATAAATAGATAAGTAAATTACTCACAATAATACTAAAATATATAAACGTGCATATACGTAATTATGTATGTACGTATATGTTGGAAGTATTGGGGTGTCGGACCCAACAGGGAATTGGGTCCCATTTGATTTATAGGCCTTTATATGTCCTTGGGGCATGTGTGGCAGGTCGGCCCAATTATTTGGACTTCTATTATGATGATGGTTCATTTCTAGACCATTCTGTTGACAAGAGTTTTATTCTCTCATGTCTTTATCTTTCTTTGTTGGCCCAATCCATTTTGTCTTTCTACTGTTAACAGCCTTTCCTTATAAACACACCCCAACAAAGAAAAAAAAAAAAAAAAAGGAAAAAAAAAATTTTAAAAATGTTATACAGAATAAAAAATGAGAAATTTAGTTTTAAAAAGAAAAAAAGGGGTTATTTTATTACTATTTTTTTTTTTGGGTTGCCAAAAAGGGGTTATTATTGGTATACAATGATAAAATGCTAAGGATACTTAGGATACGCTAAAAAAGCCACAAAATACAATTTGACAATTGTGTTATTCGGAAATCATATTTTGAAACACGAATTCTCATGATTTATGATAGAGCAGTACTAAACGGATGATAAAAAATAGAATGACTAATAATATATTCTTATGGATGTTACCTAATAATGTCTTCCGATTATTATTTATTGGTTATTTGTATTTTAATTAGTTGACTTTGTTTTTCTTTTGATGAAAAGAATTTGAACCATGCAATGAATGGAGAGCAAAGGACAAATCAGCAAACAGAGCAAAAACACTGTTTAGACTTGGTCCAGCTTGGCAACACTCTCACCACAAACCATCACTTTATCTATTCATTAAAGATTGACTCACACAGAGAGAAACACAGGTCACCACCCGTGCCTCACGAGAATACTCCTATAAAACAAGGGCACAAAGACCTAAGTGGATAATAGCAACTTCAGTTCAAGGACACGAAGGCCTTTGAAACCATGATGAACTGCATATATATTCTAATCAATGCAATATATATATATATATATATATATATATATATATATCGCTAGAGGATGGACATAGGTCCATGGTGTCTCAAAATTAAGGGCATAGTGACCTAAGCTAGGAGGGCACCTTGGTACAAAAAATTAGTTTCAAAACAAGCCCAATTGGAACACACACACAGATATATATATATATATATAAACTTCAATAATAATGGTAATAGTGTTCTTTGTTTCCACTAAGCTTTGTTTATTTGTTGGGAGGCACTTAGTCTCTCACCTTGGTAATGAAACAAAGCCCTAACCACAAACATAACTTTGGTATCCAACTAGGTTCTATGTTATAAAATTAATTGGGTTTTAGTAGTACTAGACTTATTCGACACCACTATCAAATTGTACACGAATTCAACTTTCTATATACAAAAGTTGTATTATAATCAATCAAGTACGTATATAAAGGTTGAGGTCAATGGCTTTGATACATCAATAAATATTTAGGTTTTCATGTTTTGAGTGGGATGGACGGTGAATTTGTCGCAAATTAAAAATTTTCTATCAAACAATATTATTTCTTCGAAAGGATATTCATTTAGGCGGTCATCAACACAATGACAACCTTACCATCAAATAATGTATTGATGAAAAATAATTTAAAATCGAGATATTTGGCTGATTGGCTGAAAACAAAAGGTGAGGACTTTTACGCCGTTAGATGTTCAATTGAAATTCAAAGACATATTTAATGTTATGTTTGGATTTGGCTACTTGAATTTAGGATTGAAAAAAATTTAATACAAAATTTGAACTAAATCTCTTCTAATCCCAAATTCAAGGTATCGTTACTCTCAAACATAAAATAAGATCTAAAAGTCGTTCGTCTGACATTTAAGGTCAAAAATTTATGTTTAGTACCGTCTTTTATTAATTATCTAATTTTTCAGTGTCACCACAATAATATAATATTTGTATAGGAAGAATTTATTGATTGGTCGGTTCTTTTGACGTAGTCACTGCCCAAAAGTCGTCCAAAATACATGAATTAATGCTGGTATGCTAAAAACAATATTATACAACCCACATATTAGACAATATAAATTGATATTACGTGTAAACAACAATGGAAAATTAATTGCAACTTGCGTATGCTATTTAAGGGTTTTATTTTAAAATTTGCTTACTTTATTCTTTCATTCATTATTTTTATATTCCATGCATGCATGTCAAACGAGCATTATAATCGGAACATAACCGATAAGTGTCTCCACCTTTCAATTGGGTAGTACATTTATTGTAATGTCCACACACACACACATATGTGTGTGTTTATATATTATTGCAGCAATTTAAAGAGCCAGCTTACATTGCACCAAATTGTGACAATATAGCAGTTCAAGAAAAATGATAAATTATCATTTGACTTGCAAATTTTTTAAAGATAACGCAATCAACTTCATCTTAAATCATCAATCAAATAGCGACTAATCAAATTAACAAATGATGGTGATATTAGACTAATTCTGTGTTATTAGATGACAGTAGAGAACTCTCTTTCAGGTCCGATCCTATATTCGTTTAACATTGTTGTAATTTTTGATCCGCTTTCATGTCGGGATACAATATTTAAATGACTTTTCATTAAAAAATTATTTTTCCACAAATAGACTTATTTCATACAGTTCTACCTCTACTACTACTACAAATTTTTTTTTTTTTGTGAGTTTGGTTATACATAGTTAGACCCCCCAACTTAGCATATCTTTAATCAGGCCCATTACTTTTTCTGCACACATCAGTTTATACCTTATCTTTTTTATTGACATCATGAAGAAAAGTAATTTATAATGTGCAGATTGTCCTCCCGATTCCCTCTAATTTAATGTAACACTTTCCATCAACAATGCGAGTAGATAAGTCATTTCATTCCTTTCACCAACACCCTCAACCGGCTGACGTGTAAGGTCGGAATGAAGATATGTAAATTTGAGGGGCCTAATTCAAGTATAGAATAACCTAAGAGGGTCTAGATGAAATTTACCCCCCTTTTGTAAGGCTAAAAGTCCTACCATGCTGAAATATTTATCATTAAAATGTAGTTTTTTGTGCCTCCAAGGTCCAAACATATGTAAAATTGAGTTTTCAATCTAAAAGCGTTTCTAATCTATTTAGGGTCGCAAACGAGAAATATCTATATGGTATATATATAGAGTGTATAACTCTTATATGTTCTAAAAAGTCCCTAACATTTGCTTTTTGAGGAAACAACAATTTGAATGCTGAAAATATTAAAATATCCTCTTATAACTGAATACAAAAATTAGTAAAAAACTAATTAAATATGAAATAAATAAACTATCCCTTTTTTTTGGGTTTCTTTTTCATCATCACTGTTGGTAATTGAACAGCGGCAACCACTTAATATGTTCGGTGTCAGTTCAATGTATATATATATAAGGGTAATATATATATATATATATATATATATATATATATATATATATATATAAGGGCATTATCAAAAGAAATAAAGGTACTTTTAAAATTTTATATCTTAATAGTGACTTGAAATCTTTCTTTGTTCATTTTTCAAACTTAACGGACTTATATACACAACATAAGCCATTCTTTGCTCATTTTTTCAAACTTAACCGATTTATATACACAACATAAAAAATATGAGTTTTATTTTTCCAAAATGTAAATATTAGAGGTGTTCTTTTTTTCCACTTTACCCATTCATTTAAGCTAAACATATGTTGATGGCTTTGGGTAGACTTGTAATTTTGAGTGATATTATATATTATTGATGACATGGTCAAAAGTCAAAATAATGTGATAAGTAGATAATCTTGTACTTTAAAGATGATTAAAGGCAATGTATTACCGGAACAATTAAATTAAAAATAAATATATAAAAAGAACTATATATGGAACCTACTAAATAGGAGTTATAACACAAATTGTGAGAACAAAAGATTGGAAAGAGACCGGTTTAGAATGAGGTGTTTACAAAAAGTCAGACTTGATATGCCACTATTTTATATATAATACACACATATATATATATATACACATAGAGAGAGAGCGAGAGAGAGGACAAGGGATTACAGAACAGTTGAGAAGTTTGTAGTAATAATAGTCTGGAGGCGTCTCGTGTGTCCCTACCCCTTTGTGATATGTCTATGTATTGTCAACTGTTTTGGTATTATGGAAACCAATCTGAAAACTTGCTACTCTTAATTCTCCCTATAAATACTATGCAATCCCCCTTCTCAAAATCACCACTTCATCTCATTTTAGCTCTTTCTCCCTCTCTAACATATAGTAGCATTACATAGAAATATGTCTCCTACAATGGTAATGATATCTGAGAGTAAGAGAGAGGACGATGAATTAGAAATCCGGTACCAGAAAGGAGTGAAGCATTTGTGTGAAAATGGCATTACAAAACTTCCTAAGAAGTACATATTGCCCATTTCAGACCGACCAAATTCATTCAAAGCAAAACCATACCAATCTCAGCTTAATCTCAAGTTGCCCATCATTGATTTTGCTGAATTGCAAGGTCCCAACCGCTCCCAAGTCCTCAAGTCCCTCGCCAATGCTTGTGAACAATATGGATTCTTTCAGGTATATATATATATTTCTAATTCTTTATATATAATTTATTGAAAAAGTGCAAAGTACACAATTAATTAACAGCCTAAACTTCGTTTGATGTGAAATGGATGCAAACAATTCGGTTTGGTCTGGTTCAGAAATGAACCGAAAATCGTGAATGATCCGTATGGTTGGGTTTTATAATTTTGAACTTCCTATATATATATAATGGGTTTGGTTTGGTTTGTAGTTCGTTTAAATCCCAAACTATAACTGAATCAAAACCCTACGATTTGATTCGTCCGGTCTGGTTGATTCCACCAATTCTAATGATTTTTTTGTGCACCCCTAGGTCGTGTGACTAAAACTACCATTGTCTCCGAAGTTTGAAAAATTAGAATCAATTAGAGCAGCATTTTCCTTTAACTTGTACATATAAATATGATCAGTTAAGAAGTTGAAAAGGTGTGTTTTCACTGGATTGATGCAGCTGGTAAACCATGGAGTTTCAAGTGATGTTACAAGCAATATGATCGATGTGAGTAGAAGGTTTTTTGAGCTCCCTTATGAGGAAAGAGAGAAGTACATGTCCGCGGATATGCGGTCACCAGTTCGATACGGGACTAGCTTTAACCAAACAAAAGATGGCGTCTTCTGTTGGAGAGACTTTCTGAAGTTAATGTGCCATCCCCTTTCAGATGTTCTTCCTCATTGGCCTTCTTCTCCCATCGACTTGAGGTCATCTCTCTCTCTCTCTCTCTCTCACACACACACACACACACCACAGCAGTGTGCCTTAAGCATTAGACTGTTGGAGTAGGTTTTTAAAGTTCATTTTTTTTTGCTTCTTAACATATCAAAATATGTTGATAATGCTAACACCAAATACTTTCTATTGGGCTATTTTAATTAATATATATACCAGTAGTATATTAATATAATGAAAAAAAATATTTTATTTTTCAAACAGAAAATTGGCTGTTAACTATGTGAAAGAAACCAAATTTCTGTTCCTAAAGCTAATGGAAGCCATTCTAGAGAGCCTTGGACTAACAAACATGGAGAACAAGACACAGAATGAGGATGATATTTTAGAAGAATTCGAAGATGGAAGCCATCTAATGGTTATCAATTGCTACCCTACATGCCCGGAACCCAATTTGACGCTAGGAATTCCGCCCCATTCGGACTACGGATTCCTCACACTTCTTCTCCAAGACGAGGTTGAGGGTCTGCAGATACAATTCAAAGAAAAATGGGTCACAATCGAACCAATGCCCAATTCTTTCGTTGTCAATGTTGGTGATCACCTTGAGGTGTGTTTCTGGTATCACTTTAATCTACTCCATATTTTTTCTTTTACAAGTAGTAATGTTGATTTATTTTTTATTTGGTTTTGTATATCAGATATTTAGCAATGGAAGGTACAAGAGTGTGCTACATAGAGTTTTAGTGAATTCCTTGAAATCTCGTATTTCAGTGGCAACTTTGCATAGTCTTCCTTTCAAGAGTGTGATTCGGCCATTACCAAAACTGATAAACAAAGCCAATCCAAGACGGTACAAGGACACAGATTTTGCTACTTTTCTTGAATACGTTGCATCTCGTGAGCCCAAGAACAAGAATTTCCTTGAGTCTAGGAAATTGACTTGATATGAACTCGTCCAGAAAAATAAAAAATAAAATAAAATAGACTTTCGTAGCATAATTTGTTTTTTTTTTTTTTAATTTTTTTTTATCTTGATTAAGCAGATCAGTAAATTTAGATGAAATCTATTCGAAATTACAGAATATTTAATAACAATTTGAAAATTATTTCTTCCTTTCTCTTCATCTTCTTTCATGTATCATCACCTATATATTATTTCTTGTTACTATTCATAATATAGTCAGTTAATGGACCACCATCAAGCCAAAGTTCTAAAAAAAAAAAAAAATATGGCAACCTCAACTTCGACTAAGGGGTGTATGTAATTGAACGACTTTCCCTCTCATTGTGATTTATAATAGTGGCATAACAGCTTTAGTTGATGAATTTACATATTCAACTATTATCTTGTGAAGTTATGCTTGGTGCTATAATAACCGAATTGAGTGAGTCTGACAGCAATCACTTTGTTCATAAATAATATTAGAAGGTACGTCTATCTTCATTCTTGCTCTCAAAACCACCCACATTTTGCTAGACCCTGGGTAGTGGTTTCTTATCAACAACAAATAATGATCCCCTACATCCCTGTTGCATGGTCAAAGGTTGTGTGGTTCAGAAAATGTTATTACCAAGCATAATTTTATTTTATGGATGGCCATCAAGAACAAGCTTCTAACCCTTTAATAATTTCTCCCCTTGATAGACATTTTATGTTCTACCTTCAACAACTAAACCATTGTTATGGATGGCCATCAGCAAATGTATGGTTCATGCATCCTCAACTATGGTTTAATCGGCAGATTCAGCACTTTCTTTTTATTATTATTTATTTTAATTTTTTGCTTGCAAGTTGTATTTGTTAGAGGTTCCTGCTCTGTTTTTGTTGGCTTAATTGGCCTGCTACATGTTTAGTGTCCTGTTTTTACATTGTTATACATCAATACAATTCACTTATTTGGAAATATATATATATATATATATATATATATATTGGTGATTGAAAATGATCAGGGTTCGAATTGGGAATAATTCTGCTTCAATATCTATACTGGCAGAACCAAACTAAAAAAATTACCTCTATAATACAGTGGGAAGTGATGAAGATTGAAAAAATAAATTTAGAACCCATATCTTTGAAAGGTGAATTAACAGATAACTGACGCCAGAAAATGAAAATCTGTCATTACACAATGGTGGTCCTGCTCATTGTGCTCATGCAGAATGATGAGCGGTATAAACTTAATGAAAACCTAACTTGTGGCGAATTGAATTCACATTTTAATTTTTAATAGCCTTAATTTTGGTCACCATAATTAGTCAACATATGTATATAGTTGGCTTTTCTAGTTTAAAAACATTAAAATGTTCAACATAAAAAAAATGAAAAATACGAATATATATTTGTTTGGATATAATTTATATATTTTTTAAAATTCAACCACACATTGCAGATATTGGATAATCCAGTGGGTTATTCCTTTCAGTGAATTTTGGAGTGACAGATTCTCTATACCTGCTAATCTTTGTGAAGATTCCAAAATAGTTAAGAGTGTAAATATGTGTACATTTACTTAGGTGAAGAAGAGTTCTAGTAATTAGATTGGAGAAGATACTAAAATAGTTAAGAGTATAAATATGTGTATATTTAGGTGAATAATTAACCATTAATAGATTACATATACATAATTACAGTGATTATTAATGTTATATATAGGTAGGAGAGGAAAATTTGTATCAACAATCACCAACCTCCAAAATGTCGACTCCAAAATGTGGGTGATTTAATGGGTGGATAAATGTGGGTGATTTAATGGGCGGATGAGTGTGGCAACTGGGGTTGAATTCACATAAGAGGATAATATAATTAACTCCACCAAAATGACGTTTCATATATCCACAATATTGATCATTTATTCTGTCAAAAAAACTCATTGGAGAGTTATTTAATTAATTTATGTCTTTCTTTTTACCTATCCGTAAAATAAAAAAAAATTGAATAATAAATTTTGAGATGTGCTCAAGTTGATCCGGACACCCCAATTAAAAAAAAAAAAAAATCTATTTTTAAGTCCTCAACCAAAAACTTAAATTAGAACCAAATAATAAATCAAACGCCAAATCCTTCTTCTAATTGTTATAAAAAATAAAAATTCTTCCAAAGTATAACGTAATAAATATAGTATCTAACCCTTTCATTTATAAATAAATAAAAAAAAAAAGAAAGAAAAAGGAAAATGAATTATACTGCTTGTGTCACAAAAAAAACATGAAATCTCACTCGAATCAATAAAGGAAACGCCAAAGAAACACTAAAGTGAAAAAGACACCTATGATGTGGAGCAGTTAAGGTGCCAATGGCATATGCTTTGGGAGATGCTAATTAACATGCACTCTTCCTACCTTCTTTTTCTTCCCTTTAGCAAAAAGTGGCCACATATTAGGACTTGAGTCACCTCATTCGTTCATTGCTCTCATGACCAACAATCATCCTTATAACAACAAACCCAACCTTCTTCGTCAAACCCTCTTAGTATTGCACCTCCCCCCATATTATGGCTTCCGATCTCCGGCCACCCTGGTCCGCATTACCGGCAATTCAATCCTAAATGACCGGGGTGGCGCGTGACATCCGATTCAGTCACTAGAGGTGGTGTCTATACATTTTCAAGTCAAGAAATCGCCTTCCTTAAGGCGGTTTCTCTTAAAGGGCAACTTCGATCCTTTGGCATTTTTCGCTTCCCTAGAGTCTCTTTGGTACGTGCTATCAGGAGGTCTGAGGAAATTTTCACAAGGGCGAGTCAAATTATGCTCTTTCATGTATTTTTTTTTTTTTTTCCTTCCAAGTTTTTAGTATGTATTAGTTTCTACTAATAATGAATATGTAGGCCTATGCTGGCCAAAATTTAAATAATTCCACTTTAAATGCTGTGTGTACTTTTGAAAAGTTCTGTTGGATTCATCAGAGGTTTGTATATATATATATATCCCAGTACTTTAAGCTCATGAAGTCCCCCATGTAATACTTTTAAATCTAACTCATTTGTTCTAATCCAATCCTTTTGAGTGGGTAAACTTAAATGTCAAATTGAGCTCCACTTGGGCCAGTACTCCCAATTCCCAACCTAATTGAAAGAACTTGGTTGGTTAGGGAGAGACAGAGAGGGAGGTTTATAAAGTTGTAGACAGGGTGATTTATATAAGAATTGGTTTTAGTTGGTGCTTGGCATGTGATGTGAACATGTTTGATATTTAGAAGCATAACATATTAATTTATGTGGGATGTACAGGATTAACATCAACTATCAGATTTGATTTTGAACTTTAACCGTTTTTTTTTTATCTTAACCAGGTACATATATCTGGGTGACTTTTGGAATTAAAATTGTAGCCAATTGTGCTCTGTTACTACTAATAATTTAATTATTTTCGTTTTGGTAAACTACCAAAAACAAGTATTTATTATTTTAGTAGTGGAGCTCTTCTCATCAAAAACATTTTTCTATTAGTGATGCACATACACTCTAAATACCAAAAGGGAAGTTCATCGAAATTCTCTCTGGAATGCAGACAAGGGAGGTTCTTCAAATGAGTTTCTCTTGAATGCATTCGAGAGGGTACAAATTTTTTATTTTATTTTTTTACTGTTGTGTAGAGTTGACGACTAGATAACCAAGATCATGCGTTTTACTATGTGTAGCATAACTTTTTGACAAATGTAGTACCAAAATAATTCTAAGTAGAAAAATTAAGAATCGGGCACTAAAGAGAATTCTCATTCAGAATTTAATCAGGAGAGTGTTGACTCCATATAATTTATATAAAATATAAATTTATGGAGTCGATTACTTTTATGTTTACTATTTTTGACTTATAGATGGATTGATCCTATTTGCCCCCTTTCAGTGTACTGAAGAGGATCTCCATTCAGAATTTAATTATGAGAATGTTGACTTCATGTTATTTATAAAAACTTTGTAAAATAAAATAAAATAAGAGTTATATATATAATTTTTATAAAATATAAATGTTTACCGTCCGTGACTTTTTTTTTTTTTTTTTTTTTTTTTTTTTTTCCTTCTTCTTCTTTTTTTAATTTATTATTATTATTATTATTTTTTTATGTTTACCACTTTTGGCTTATAAATGGATTCATCCTATCACCACGGCAGTGCACTGAAGAGGATCCCCACTTAGATATTAATCATGAGACGGTTGATTCCATAAGGAATGGATAAAGTCTAAATTTCAAAAGTAACGTGGCTATTATGTTTACCACTATTGTGTTTGTTGGTAGGGTTAAGAAATCTTTAGAACATATTGACGAGGAAGGGCTGGAAGGTCCCTCTGGGCCACACTCTGTTTCGTATTTCAGAATTATAATTGGAAAAAGATAAGGTCAAATTTTAAATTAATTTTCTTTTTTATTTTTAATTTCAAGATATTATAATTTCATGCTTTCAAATGAAGGCCAACTATGTCCAATCCCACTTTCACCGGACTCTCATTTTTTTTTTGTCCAAATTCCTTTCTAGTCCTATTTATTATTTTGATTCAAAATTTCTTACTATTTTGCCCATCTGAAGTAAATTTCATGTGAATCATCTTGATTTCTCTCTCCATTGATTTCACAAAGCTGTAATTTCAAATTCGAGTGGGGGAGAAGCAACGTGTGTTTGGAACCTCAGCTTTTGCCAATGAATTATTTCTAAAACATTGCATAATGTGAATATTTTGCAAATTAATGAATCATTAGTGATACACTTGTATTATATGCAAAATTGTGTATCAATGTGGGGCTTTTGATTTGAAGAACACTCTTCCCATAACATATTTTTTTTCATCTTTATCATCCTATTATTTAGAATTCATAACAAAAATCATTTATTTATTAATTTTCGGTAACTTATTGTACGCGCCCCACTTGATAAATTCGACCTAGACCTATGCCAATATCGACCTAGACTTTTGCCAAATATTAAAAAATAAAAAAAAAAAAAAATTTTACATCGAAATAAACGGAGCCTAATTAAACGAAAGATTAATTTGAACTCTACAAATTTAACCATTGATTTGAGACAATTTTTAAAAATTTGTGAAAAATGATTCATCATTAAACACATTTTTTAATCCATGGTTAGATGTGAAAAACTCACAACCCTTGTCACGAGATTGACTTGGCTAAGGATTTTAGAAACAAGAACTAAGAGAATCACCAATGAGTCGGGCTCCGCTGGCCTTTTATTTTTGGGCCAGTGAAGTAGGTATAGGCATGAGTGGATTCAGATTTGGATCAGTCAACTGGTTGGGCTTTAGATAGGCCAGGCCTTAGTAATTTATTGGATTACACTTTAATCTGAGCCTAATTGGATCATCATATTATAGCAATACTGCCTTCAAAAGAAATTCTTTTCCATAGAAGAAGTCCTTTCCAAGTTCCAACACTTCACTCTTTCCTTTACCTTAGTAATGAATGACAAACCAAACACATCTTTCTTAGACCTTGCTACAATTGAAAGAATATCCAAATCTAGGAAATGGAATGGAGTTGCCAAACTGAGTTTTAGATCATTTTTGTAAGGTTAGTCACATAATAATAGTTCTAACTTGATTCATTTATTTATTTGACCTTTCGGGAAAAAAAAATGATTCATTTATTTATTTTACGAACTAGAATGGAAATCTTGTGGTGTAAGAGACTTTCTTCGCATCAAATATTATATCCATTAAATATAATCTAAGGAACATATTATAAACTCACTTTTCTCTTTAGTTTTAAATTTTCTAAAACAACTCTACTCACGGACCTAGATATAACTCGGTTGGGGGGACGGATTTTTTAATTTTATTTTTAGTATTATACTTTGCTAATTTTTTATTTTTCAATTACATAACCTATAAAATTTCACTATAGTCTATACTTACATAATTTTCTGGTATGCCCCTGATTCTACGGTAGAAAAAGAACATTGCAAATTTATAATTGTGGATCAAGACAATACCATGAGAATATTTTTCCAAAATTATTTTTGTATAATTATAATTTAAAGAGACTTCAACGCACAATGTTGAAGCAGTGAAGCAAACCCCATTATGTAGTTAAAAATCCATTTCAAGCAAAGATACAGGGAGAAGAAAAAAGATTCAAACCAAAAAGGCATAGCCAAGCCTCATATTGCACCGCCCCATTTTCTTTTATTATTAATCTTTATTTATTTATTTATTTTCCTGACAAATTAAAAAAACGAGACTCAAATATGGGTACACCCGCTCGGGAAGCTTAACATTCTACCAACTAAATCATTGGACAATGCCTTATTATTTAATTTTCTTGTTGGTATGGGATTACCCAAGTTTTTGATAACTTCCTTTTTTACGCAATGGGATTGCAGGAATATAATTCTAACATAATATTTGGTGTGAAAAATGTGCAAGAGATTAATTTTGAATTTTTGACCATGCAACATTGTCTGGTAGTTAAAATTATAGTTATTGTAAAAAAACATTTAAAGTAACTTGATATTTAGGTTACTTTAATAAATGTCACTTGGTTGCTTGAGCTCGAACCTAATCCAATTTTCATTCCGAAATATCCTGCACAAATTCAAATATTTGACGGGTTCAAGAATTGAATTTCAATTACAGATTTAATAAATTGCATTGAATTTAGGGTATTCCTCAGTCTAATCCTAATTGAACACTTTGTTTTCACTTTGAATGCATCCGCCTGAAAATCAGATCATCCACAAAAAGCTCTTGCCAGAGTCTAACAATGCATTTATTAAAAATGCCACCAAGAAGATATCACCAAAATCTACTACTACTAAAAAGGAGACTCAAATTTATGTTAAAAACTTTTTTTTATCTGCAAATCCCCACTGGCGGGTGTGAAATTGATTCAGTATGATAAAGTGCAATCTAAGTAAACTGCGCATAATCTTCTTCAAGCACTACCCCTAAAGTGCATGTTTTTCTAATATTTTTTTGAATCCCATAATCACACTTTGCCTGTCCCACCTCCCATCTAACAAAAGTCAAGTCTCAGCTTAGCACAACCCCCCCCCCCCCCCCCCCCCCCCCCCCCGCGCCCAACATGCTGCTTTCATAATGATATTCATGACCAAAATCAATCTATATAGTTATGTGTGTGTGTGTAAGAGAGAAATGATCTCTTGTTCACTTTAATAAAAAAAACTCTCTCCACACTATGTATATAACTTGTGGCGATTTTGCCCCCCCCCCCCCCCCCCCCCCGCGCCCAACATGCTGCTTTCATAATGATATTCATGACCAAAATCAATCTATATAGTTATGTGTGTGTGTGTAAGAGAGAAATGATCTCTTGTTCACTTTAATAAAAAAAACTCTCTCCACACTATGTATATAACTTGTGGCGATTTTGTGAGTGGGTGCAAGAGGCGCTGGCAGACTACCACACTGGGCGACAGGTACACAATCCCACATTACATGGGTGTAGAAAGGAGAAATTCTATACATGTAGGATACACTGGGCGACAGGTGTATAATCTCACGTCACCTGGGCGTGGAAAAGAGAAGTGTTATATACGTAAGATTTGTATACTCCAATTAGTATGAGACATTTTGGGATAAAATTTAAGAGTAAAATAATCAATGAGGACGTTTATACATGCAGAATTTGTACACTCCAATTGGTACGAGGCTTTTGGGATAAAGCTCAAGAGTAAAACCATGCGGGTTCCAATTGGTACGAGGCTTTTGGGTTAAAACTCAAGAATAAAATTATACAGGTTCGGGTCAAAAACGGACAATATCTCACGTGACCATTGATATAATTACTATATTTTTTTTATAACTATTTTTTTCACTTACATCAAATTTAACTGCCACTGTAGTTGCTGTAAAGAAAGTTTCTTACTCACGGCCTAGCAAGAGATTATTACTGACCATTTCCATTGAGTGTGTACTTTGCAATGACTATTTCTACAGTCTCTCTTTCCACCAGACCACTTACATCAGAAGCTGTAATAATAATCCCCACACGCACAAACATCACATAAAGGCACATACATTTCTTAGCTCCTACGCCAATCATCACTCTTCACCCCTTTTAAATTAATACCTAGCTCACTCCAACCCACAACTTGTTTCAACTCAAAACAACGCAAAACACTAAGCAACCTCATAGCCTTAACCATGAGTGTAATCAAAACAACCTCCTTTTGGCTCTCTGCCTTTGCCATTGCACTTGTTTCTCTTATAGTTGCTCTTTATATCGTCCCTATTTCCAAAACAACTACTAACACTCCAACTAGCTTTGAATTTAATTTTCTCGAAAGGGTTGTCAAGCAAAGTGGTCTAGAGGACTTCTCCGTCCTAGACCGGATTGCCCATGGACCATCTAGGCACCACCACCACCACCACCACCACCACCAAAGAAAGCCCAAGAAAACATGTGAAACCATCAAATGGCAGTCGAGGCTCGTATCAGACTATGATGTGTCCCTTGTTTTGACAGTAGATTTGAAGGGTTGTGGGAATTTCACCAGCTTGCAGAAGGCAGTAGATTATGTTCCTGATTCGAGCCTTACTAGGACCCTCATCAGGATTGATTCTGGCACATACAGGTTATTAATTAGCTTGTTACTTTGGCCCTTTATTGACATTCTTTTTCATTGGCTGATACATCTTGAATGGCGTATGCATTCAACTTCTAAAATTACTGAATTGGCTTCACATATCATGGTGGCAGGGAAAAAGTAGTGGTTCGCGCTAACAAGACGAATGTGATATTTGAAGGCAGCGGTTATCTCAACACAGCCATTGCCTGGAATGACACCGCGAATTCTACTGGAGGAACTGTCTATAGTGCTACAGTTGCCATCTTTGCTCCCAACTTCACCGCCTACAACATTAGCTTTCAGGTAAGCTTTCAAAAACATGATGAACATCGAAATTGTTTTTCAAGTTAAATAATTTTGTTTTTGTCTGTAATTATTAAAGGTCATTAGTTAGGTAGAAAAATATTTTGCACAAAATGAATACTCTCACATTTAGACTCGAATTGATTTTCATCTGATTTCTTTGTGGTTAATTCTTTAAAAAGAACACAGCTCCTGCACCGGACCCGGGAGAAGTTGGAGCACAGGCATTGGCACTAAGGATTGCAGGAGATCAAGCTGCATTTTATGGCTGCGGATTTTATGGAGCTCAAGACACCCTCCACGATGATCGAGGGAGGCATTATTTCAAAGATTGTTTCATCCAAGGATCTATAGATTTCATTTTTGGAAATGCTAGATCACTCTACGAGGTATATATAACCAATAGTCCATTAAAAATAGGCTCCTCTTGTTGATTAATTCCAATTTCAGAGCTCTTTAATTTGAACTTGTATCATGCAATCAGAAATACAAATTTAAATGAGTGCAACATTACATTATAGCTCAACAATGACGTTCTGGTAAATGTGCTCCACAATTCAAGTTTACATCACCAATATACAAATATTTTTTTTTAATGAATACTTGTATAGGCATGAACCACTACTGACAATATTTTATATGGCCCAATTTACAAAATTTACCGATTGGTCATTGCAGGATTGCAAGATAAATTCTATAGCGAAAGAAGTATCTTCCGGGATCAGTGGAGCCATTACAGCTCATGGAAGGGATTCGATTGACGAGAAGACAGGGTTCTCGTTTGTGAATTGTAGAGTTGGTGGCAGTGGAAGAGTGTGGCTTGGCCGAGCATGGGGTGCATATGCTACTGTGGTGTTTTCCAAAACATATATGTCCGATGTTGTTGCTTCAGATGGCTGGAATGATTGGAGAGACCCCTCTAGAGACCAGTCAGTGGTTGATCCTAATTGCTAATATATGCATGCATGTATATATCTATATCTATTTATATATATATATATATATATTGCATGAATTAGTGAAGAAAGATTCTCACCAATGACCAAACTACTATTTCCTATTATAAGTACACGAAATTCATTGGTAGCTAGGTGAAATACTTTGGTGGTGAAACATAGAATTCAATGTGTGTGTGTGAGAGAGAGAAAATTATAGATTTATTTGATAAATTAAATTGATTAATTGTTGTTAATGTACATGTTTGTAGGACAGTATTCTTTGGGGAGTACGATTGCGTAGGACCCGGAGCAAACTACGCATACAGAGTCTCGTACGGGAAGCAACTAAAGCAATCTGAAGCAGCACCTTACATGGATGTTGGATATATTGACGGGAACGACTGGCTTCCTTCTCAGCCAAACGACTTCCTAAATTCTACTCACACTTCTCGTAACAGAGACTTCATTTAGATATACTAATACATGTAAGAATAGGCTTGACATCAAAGGGTATAAACGTATATACGGGTTAGTTAATATTGTTATAGGGATATCAAAATAACAGTTTCTAAAAAAATAAAGGGTTAGCTTGAAATAGCAAGAAAGGAAAAGAAACACAAAATTTTAAAATTTTTTAATTGTTTGGTTAGCCTGAATAGGAAAATTTTCAGAAAATTCTGTTATTAGATTATGATTATTAAAATTAGGTCCCTTTTCCACTCACAAAAGAAGTGAACTAATATAATGCAGTAGTAGAGTCCTAATATATATTGCAACTTTAAAATAAAAAATTAAAATTAAAAAAAATTAAAAAACTATTCAATTACCAAATTTATATTTGGACATATATATATATATATAAAACCCAATCTTATATATTTTTTTATGCTATGTATATTATTTATATTAAATTAGTAAGAATAGTTTTGGTATATAAAATCATTTTCTTTTCACTTTCCTGGCATCCAAACTCATGGAACAATATTTTCTCACAATTTTCTTTAAAAAAATTCATGCTAACCAAATGCATGATAGAAACTAAATTTTCTTTTCCTTTACTTCACTTTCTTTTCCTTTCACTTTTCACCATCAAATTCCGGCTAACCAAACAGACCCAAAAGGAAATAATATTTATGATCCATTTTCCATTTCATTCAGTTACAAGTCGACCTTGCTTAGGCCCAGATGCTTATTGGGCAAGGCCCAAATGTGTAAAAACCCATTTCAGTCAGCAACAAATCCAACTTGCTAAGGCCCAGATGCTTATGAGAGCTTCCGTACAACCATAAAACCTCATCCTCCGTGTAGAGACCGTTTCAACCGTTGGAATTCTGCCTAAACCAGTTCTTGACTTGCTGTCGAGATAAATACAGTTTTATTATGTTTGCTAGTTGAAAAATTGAGAATGGAGATGTGACATTTTATTCCGGCAGGTAGGACAGAGTGCCGCGAGTATTTTATTAAAGCACACAATGATTTTGATGTTGGAACCATCGCTATATGTGTTCCATTTCAATATTGTAACATTCCATTTGATTTGGTCATGCCCAAAAGAGCTGCTAGCCATTGCTATCAGACTTTTCAATTTAGTGTTTTTATACGTTAGTAGTTGTTGTATACACAAATTTTGTTCTTTGCAAATAAAGATAAAATATGGAGCAAGATATAATATTTTATTAATTTAAAAAATTTAGAGTACAATCCTTGTAATAATATTCTTTAGAAAAAAAAAGAATGGTCCTCTGATTCGATCTCCTTTTTGTTGTTGGTTGGATCCAAAGGCTGCATGAGCTTATTCTTAAATCACCGTGAAATTTGATGAAGAACGGCACGTCGTTGGATGTGCTTGTTGTTAATCACCGTGGAATTTGATGAAGAACGGCATGTCTTTGGATGTGCTTGATGTTCTGCTTTTGGGTTTGGATTCTGAATTTGAGTTTCTGGATTTCTGGACTTCTTAATTCTGAATTCGTGTCTAAATTTTTAGACTTCTGAATTCTGAATTTGTGTCTGAATTTCTGGACTTCTGAATTCGTGTATGAATTTGTGTCTAAATTTCTAGATTTCTGAATTATGAATTTGTATCCTTTGTTGAATTTGAGGAAGAACGGCACGTCTTTAGATGTGCTTGTTATTATTCGTCTTCAGATAAAAGAGAATGGATGTGTTTGTTGTTCTTCGTCTTCAGATATAAGAGAATTTGTTGAATTTGGTGAAGAATGGCACGACTTTGGATGTGCTTGGTGTTTTTCGCCTTCAGGTTTGCCTTCGGGATTTTTGGCCCTCTAGATTTATGATTCTCTCAACTTCTGGACTTTTGAGTTTCTGGATTTCTGGACTTTGAATTTGTCCCCCTTCATCCTTCCTCCAGGCCTCTATTTATAGGCTTCTTGGATTAATAGGATGATGACACGTGTCATCACCTGATAAGGAAAAAATCATAACTGAGCCGGGTCGGTTATATTATGATAATTATCCTTAAAAATAATTATTCCAAATATATTTTATTATGAATAATTATCTGTTTATTTAACCATCTGGGCTGGGCTAATTAAATAATTTAAGTGGATCAAGCTTGGGCCAATTAAATAACTTAATTAAATATTAGGCCCCTATTTAATTGGTCCATTTGTCAAAATCAAAGCCCATTAAAATTTTAGGGTCTACAAATTGCCCCCACTTCGAGTCCCAAGTTTGACAGGACTTGTTTCCTTTTTCAAATGGGAATTGAAGTATTCAACTTTCCTCTTTTCTTTTTTCCTTTTTTATTTATTTATTTATTTATTTATTTTTATCTAACTTTGGATTATAAGATTTCCTCTTTTGCCTTCTATCCAATTTTGTAGTGGAATTTTCTTTCTTATTTAAACTGAATTATACAAATCCTAGTACAAACAGGAGATATTTTGTTACCGATATATACCACCAATGTTATAGGTTTTGCCATCAATTCTAAAGTCTCTAGAGACTTGTTAGATTGCGGTCTCTGCTTGAATAATCGGTATGATTTCTCTCTCTCTCCTTTTTTTTTTTCTTTTTCTTTTTTCTTCCTTTTTCACTCTTTTTTTTTTTTTTTTTTTTTTTTTTTTTTTCCTTCCTTTTTTTTTTCTTTCCTTTTTCTCTTTTTTTCTTTTCCATGCAATTTTTTTTTCTTTCCTTTTTTTTTTTTCTTTCCCTTTTTTTTTCTCTCTTTTTTTTCACGATTTTTTTCTCCTTTTTCTTTCACGTCCTTTTTTTTTTTTTTATCTTTCCACTTTTTTTTTTTTTTTTTTTTTTGAAGCAATTAACACAATCTCTATTCAATTTCTTGCCATTTAAGCAGTTTATATTCTTGCAACCAAGACCACTCCAACTAAAAATCTTATCACTCGCATTTTTCCAAAGTGAAATGGGAAAAGTATAAAGACCCACCTTAGGAATTGACTTTGCAAAGCACCTTCTTCTCGGCAATGGCTCGCAACCTCACGATTTTTTTTTCCTCTTTCTTTTTCTTTCACGTCCTTTTTTTTGTTTCTTTTTTTTTCTCACGTTTTTTTTTTTTTTTTCCTTTCCCTTTTTTTTTTTTTTCCTAAAAGGACACCACAACTCACACCCATGGAGCTCAAGTTATTGAAGTTTCTGGTAGCTGCAGTTGGGTCGAACAGATTGAAGCTTCGTTTGACTTGTTTTATCTTTGAAACTCGCCGGAGCTTCTCGCCAGATTTTTTCGCAAAAACTGAGTTGCCTAAACGGAGCCCGCTGGATCTTTTGGGTTTGTTAATGGTGGTTAATCTATTATGAACTAGAGCTCGCCGGGGTTCATGGTGTCTAAACTTCTGGGTTTCGCCGGTCTTCGTTGATGGAGTTTTTCAATGCTATCACTGATTTACGCACTACCCCAATGTGAACTTTATCGGTATTTTTTTTTATTTTTATTTATTTTAATGCAGGACTTCCTAAGAATCAGTTCTCCTATTACGAATCCAAAAACGACATAGAAGTTGTTCCATGTAATCAACGCTGTAACGACCCAGTCATTTGCCTTCCTTTTTCCTGAAATTTTACGAACGAATTTTTTTCATTTAATTTTCTTTTCTGAGCTCTGTTTCGTGCCGCTTAATGTCATCTCGAGTGCTCAGAATTGGTTTCTGAGACTCTTTCATGTGGATTGACAACTTCCTTTGAAGACCGAATCATTTTCGCATTTTTTGTTTTCGGACACTATGTGCTATTTCGTCTTTTCCCTATTCTGTCATTTTCCCTATTTCGTCTTATCTCCATTTGTCAGTTTTTGGCACAATCTCACTTTTCAAGCTTGGAGTTGGTTTTTGACTTCGCGTATCCTTATCGTGAGTGGTTTCCACGAAATACGTATCTTTACTTTTGTAAGAAAGTACTTTGGTTGCTTCCGGTGCCCACAGGGGCATGGATGCATAAAACTTAGGAATTAATTTCATTTCTTCGGGTGTTTTTCATAAATATCTTTTGAAGATATTTTATTTCAGGGGCATCTAAGAAAATATCTTTTCATTCTGGGGCAGTTTCGTAGTTAACCCTTTTTGTAGGGGCCATTGTGCAATTAACGAAAGTTATTGCAAAATATCTCGTCTGGAGCCTGGATCCTCGTACGGGATTCATTTTCACTTTTTGTTGACTTGTAAATTCATAGAATTCCGTTTTGGTCATTTTTCTCCAGTTTCATAGTTTCTGGACCCGGTTGCCGCTGAACTTGTTTGGGGCATAACTTTCTGGTCGGGACTCGGTTTTCGACGCCGTTTCTTCCGTTGTTCATATTTTCTTATTTTAAATCTTTTTTGTTCATGGAGTTTTGACGTTTGAGAGTGTTTGCTTAAAATCCACTTTTTCAGACCCAGCGGGGCCCTTTCGAGGCACTTTTTAAGATTTCTATAAATAGGTTGCCATAATTTTTAAAATCAGATTTTCAGACCTTCTTCCTCCTCTTGGCTGGCAGCCATGGGAGCCCAAGGGGCTTCCTTCACTCTTTCTTCTCCTCCACTTGATTTCCTTGGTAGAAATCCTTTGGCCTTAGCATTTGTTGTTCCCCTCGTCGTGCTCTACCATTATTCCTTATTAGAACTCATTTTTGACAATTTCTTGAGTTTGGCTTTGAAGTCAAGTTTGGATTTTCATGGGGCTTTTTTCAGATTCATGTAAATCGTGTTGTCCCAAGCATAACTCTTTGATTTCGGCGGATTCGGAGCACTTTTTTTTCAGTTGGGATTTGAGATCTTCATCTCAAATTGAGATAGGGGATGTTCTAGGTTTAAATTCTTGTTATATAGCATACTTGTGATACTTATACTACCTGCATGATTAAATATAAAATTTAGAGATTTTATTATTTATTTTTCTTGTACGGGATCTACTTTTCCCGGTTGCTCATGACTTGGTTTAAATATGTAGCATGATTTTATATTGCCCCTTGATATGCTCATTGTCGTATATTAAAATTGGAACATTTGAATAAGTATTAAAGATTTTATTTAATATTTATCTTAGGTGAAAGATTAATTCACATGGCCTTAACTAGCTTGAAATCAATATGTATTAGCATATTCAATTAGACCTTAGCATGCTCTCCAACATAGTTGAATTTGAAAGTAATTGGAGGTGTTTTGAAAATTAATAATTATTAATTAATTTGCCCCGAGTGCACTATTCACTCTATTTGAATTCTGACTTGACTTGATATTCTTGATTTATATGCTATATAGCTTCACATATATTTGATTTAGAATATTTGGTTAGGTTTTGAAATCTTTTATTTAATTAAATTTCATATTTAAGATTTAATCTTCATGGTGATATACAACTTGGAATTGTATTGTGGAATGCTATAAAATTAAGTTTTAGTATGGTTGTTCACATGTATTAAATTGGGATTTATTGTATGAGAATTGCAACTTTTATTTTATATTTAACTTTAGTGAAAGTTATTAATTCACATAGTCGTAAATTGAATGAAATAAACTTGTAATGTGATATTACATTAGTCCTTGGCATGTTCTCTAAGATATGTTAAATTGAGAGTATTTGGTTAAGTTTGAAAATATAGAGATTTTAATTTAAAGAATTAATTAAAATATATTTTGTGGTCCCATTAGCTTAATTAAGGTTTTAACTTGATATTTGTATTGATCATGATTTGTTTACTTGCATGTATTAATTTGGGACTATTTGAAGTTGTTTTAGAACCTTGGGATTTAAATTAGCATGATTTAATTAAAGTTCTACCTTGTTATTGTATTTAAACTCATGAGCTTATGTTTTCAATATTGAATATATTGTTATCATGCGTAATGATTTGCACACTTCATATTTAACATCATTCATGCATAGCGTGTAACGAATCGCACACTGAAGATTCGACATTCATCCTAGCATATTAGTTGTGGATTTAGAGCATATATTGTATAGGTTTCCAAATTTGGTTGTGCTGGGTAGATAGTTGATTATCTTGCATATTCCTGTTGATATATGCATTGTTGCACAACTTGTTGATTTTAGAAACTTGGGGATGTCGTTGTTTGACTATGGCTAGGACGTGGTTCTAGTATGGGGGATAGTCCCTCTATATAGTCTAGTGCGCACATAGGGAGGTTACCCATGGGCTAGTAGTCCT